AATTATTTCATGAACAGCTGCCACTACACTTGTCGCCTCAGCCACCTGTTTGTTTGTTCAGAAGGCAGATTGTCGGCCAAAAAGAGGGAGCTCTATGCCACTGTTAACAAAAGAGGATTAGCTGAGCAAATAAAAGTTTGTAGCAAGACCGTGATCCTATGAAAAGCCTGTTAGCCACGGGATGACCATTGCATTTAGCTTTTTTCTTCCCAGTCTCCCCTCTCCACACACACACATTGTAAGTTCTTGCACAACTGGACATACTTACATAGGGTCATGTAAATTTATTATGCACAAATACAGTCCCATATAATCATAAACATTTACACAGAACTACATACAAACAGCGCATTGGCATAGAACTACACACATACTCATAGATACACACATAAGTATGCACTTGCATAAATACATTCACACACAACCGCACACATGCATACACACACATGCATGCACACACATGCATGCACACACACCCACACAGACACGCACACACACACACTTTCTATTTCTCCAAAATTATTTCCTGCTCTGCACTAGTGCAGTCCGAGGTTGAACTTGGATAATTTTATTTCATGAATAGTTTTTTGACAAAAATATTAACAAGTGAATTGAGCATGAATTTTTTTTACCCAGAACATTGTAATACTTTGTCTGTGAATTCAGTAGAGCATTTAATATATTCTAATGAATCTGGCTATGATAGCACACTGACCGCGTTCCCATCTGAAATATATTTCACTAATGATACTCCCATCTAAAACATATTGAACTTCATGACTAGGTGTGATAAAAGTATCCCTGTTATACTATTTCTATAAATTTGAACACTGACTTCCACATTTTCTTAGTGTAAGAAATCTCTGAATTCTCCATGGTTTGTTACATCTGCCTGGTAGATGTACTAGAACAATCTTCTGTTAACAATAATTTTTAACCTTGCCTTACTTGACAGATGATATGGATAATGCTGGTGATCATCACTTCACTAGAACAAAATCACTGGTTCATAAATTTTGAAGAGCTCGGATTTATTTTAGAATCTTCACCTTTATCTAGCCAATGCTGTGATTTACGGTATTTTCTTTATTGTTAGTTTATAACCAGCAGTTTGTCTTGTTCTCTTATTTTGTTATCTGCTGTAGCATTTGTGTCTCTAGTGTTGGCATTTTATATTTATTTTTATTTTTTGAGCTGTGCTGAGTATAACTATCTTACTCCACCCTTCCAATAGGTTTGTATGGAGCCATATATGTGTGTGGTGGAATGTTTAATGCTTCGCATGATCTTTTCAAACAACGTATAATTATGATGCATATTTGTACTTCATAGCCATGTGTACTTTATAAATAATGTAATGTGTTTATGTGTATATGGCAAAGGGTATGAAATTTAAGTACATTGTGTAAACACTCCAATCTGGTAGCTATTAATAGCTGTTACTCTCTCTTGAACTACCCTGCCCTGCCTAAAAGACAAACTAACATGATGTGAAAGTAAAAAGCACACTTAAATCACTTAAAATATGGCATGATATAGTGAATACGTACTGCCGTTAAATTAGAGTGATGCAATCAGTAAATTTTCCCTTTTCTCTGTTTTCTAATGCAGTTTTACTTCATACTGGGAAGGATTTATTATTTTGTAGTATTATTTTGAAGTATTCATTATTTTGAAAGAAAGGCAAACCAGAACAAAGACAGTAAAGCGGCCGTCCTGACAAACATGTTTGTAAAGTTTCTCCAGCTTGGGAGACATGCTGTCGAAGTGTGCTGATGTTATTATGGCTCTTGTCCTTGATCTCCTGGCTACTTTCACAAAAGAGTCCACAAATTTATGTGCATCTTCCTTTTGTTGTTCTTAATAATCCTTAATAATTTTATGGATTGATCTTTTATTTTTTCTTTTATTTAATAGCTACCAGATTAAAAGTCTCCTTCCCTCTCCTCTCTCTCTCTCATAAATGTCTCTCATAAAGGTCTTTTTGTTTGGCTTCTATAGTGTTTTTGGTATTTATTTTGTTAAACATTTCTATCAAATATCCTTACACGCAAACAATTTTTTGTAGTATGTGCTTGACAGGGAACACAATACTATCTTTGAAGCTACTGGTGTAAAGTCTCTCTACACAACAGAACCTGGGTCAAAATGCATACATATGTACTTGTGTGTGTGTCTGTGTGAGACGTGTGTATGCACATACAAGACCAGTGGGCATCTGTAAAATTTCTATCATAGGATGCCACCAAAGAGATCTAACTTCAGGTTTCAAAGATACAACATAACAGGGTCAAGAAAAATATTCCCTAGTGTTATAGGCAGCTGAGTTAGATAGAAATATTATAGGCAGTCAGACAAGGCTAGGCCCTTGACAGAGCCAGCACAGAAGACCAGATGTCTTGTGACTTTGGAGAAGACAGACAGCTTCTACTGTGGGCCAGATTTCAAGATGAAGGACAAAATAAATCCCACTTCTATACACCAGGGATTGATATTCTAAGTATGTGTGCATCGCTCTGAGGAAGCCAGGAGCCACATCCCAATCCCCTACAGAAAGAGTTACTGCTCTTTAAGCACGCCTGCTTGCTGTTTTTCTCCCTTCCCCATTTGTCCCTGATTTAATCAATTTTACCTGAACAATTAATCTTACTGGTTGGCCATAATTCTGCCCCATCTCATGCCTACCTTGTGAGTTCCCATTTCCCCCATCTGAGACCCTCCTCATTTTGTGGTTCTGTGCTATAAAATCCCTAGAAAAGCCAGAGTCCTTAGCAACCTACTCAGGACCCCTTCTGTTTCTCTCCCAGACAGAAGCTTTCTCTCTCTCAATAAATATATTCTGTTCTTGACCTCCATTGTTCCTAAAATTCATTCTTTCACTTTAGAGAACACAAACTCGCACCAGACATCTAGTAAATCAAGAGTTCCATTCTCCTATATCACTAGGACACAAAAGCTTATATTCTAATGGAGTTCTCTTATTATAGATAGCTAAGTTATTTAGAAATACTGTAAGCAGTCAGATCAGGTTGGGTCTTATAAAGGTCAATGCAAAGGCAGCTGTGGCTGGAGATATATTCACTGAAGGCCAAGGATCAAGAAAAAGAGGGACTGCTCACCCAAATACTTCCCCTGGGGAAGAACAGCAGCGATTGATATTATAAATAGGCATCAATCACCTTGAGAGGGAGCACCAAACCTCCTTAACCCAGCCCTTGTAGGAAAGCCCTGTGGGCCCCATGTGCACTGGCTATGGGACTGGCTTCCCCATTGGACCGCTGTTTAATCTGTATTGCCTAAGTGACTATCTTGTTGTACTCTTACTGGTCACCATAGTTTTGCCCCACCTCCCACCACCTTGTGACTTCCCATTGGATCAGTGTTACCTAAGCGACTATCCTTGTGATCTTATTAGTCAATATAGTTTGGTTCCACCTTGAGCCTGCCTCATCTTGAGACTTTGCTCAACAATACACCCCTGAGAAGGAAGGTCAGTGGGCAATCCAGTTTCTGGGGCCCCTTCCATCCCTCTCAGACAGAAACTTGCTTTCTTTAAAACAAATTCTTCCTATTCTTAACCTCTGTTGTTCCTAGAATTCATTCCTCAATTTTAGAGAACACAAACTTGGAGTTTCTGACATCTAGCAAGTTAGGAGTTTCCCCTATATCATTTTTGTGGATCATATAATGATAATTTTAATTCTCAGGTTCAAATGTACAGAAATGGAAATTATTTAACCCTTGTGAAAATCTAACCCTTATACACTACTTGCTTAAGTCCTCCTTGCCATTTTATGATAGGAAAAATTTTGGAAGACAGTCATTATTTTTATTTTGTATCTTCCTTTATCAAATTCTTTATATTTTAGGATATTTTATTTCCCCCAAATACTGGATTGAACTATGAGTTACAAAGGCATGAGCTTAGAAAGTTTTTCTGAAACAATTACTCTCCCCTGTTCCTTGTTAGTCTTACTGAAAAGTTTTGCAATATACATTACTCTTGTAACCTCAGAAAGGAAGCTACTTTTAAAAATGTGTATCTTTGTGGTTAAAGTTAATGTTGTTCCCCCTCCTTGCAACAAATCCTCAAAGCACCAGGAAATGCTTAGTTCAAGAAGCCCCTCCCAAATCAATATGAACTGAGAAGGGAGAATTAGCAAAAGGCAAAACAGCTGGGTCTTTAAAAATCTTGTTAGAGAAAATTCTTAGAACAATCAGAACTGGAGAGAGACAGAAAAGATGAATCAGCGTTATCTACTCTCCTTCCTTCACTCGTTTGAGAGGGTAAATGGCAGAGAAATTGTTGAAATATGAACTCTGGGAGACTAGCTCTGAAGAGAAGTATATTGGCAGCGTGAAAATTGTCTACTGGAAGCTGCATGGTCAGGCGGGAGAATCTAGGTTTTGTTTCCACTAAACCTGAAGTCACTGCTCTTTTCTGTTGCTATAGCAAAATGCATGAGACTTAATAATTTACAAAGAATATGAAGTTATTTGGCTTACAATTCTGGAGGCTGCAAAGTCTAAGAACACAGTGCTGGTTATCTGTGCTCTGGTGAAGGCCTTCGTACTACACTGTAGCATGACAGAAGACATCAGATGGTGAGAGAAAGCAAGCATGAAGGCCCACCCTCATGGTCTCAGTGAACCCTACTTACTTCCTGAAGACACCGTCTCCAAAACAGCACTAACATGAAGTTGAGGACTAAGTTACCAGCACTTAAATTTTGGGAGGACACATTCAAACCATAGCAACTGTACATTTTGTTTCTAGCTCTTCTGTCTTGCAGGACTCTGTGGTTTTTATTGGCCCCCTTATTATGTTTCCTGTCTCTCGGTGTCCCCCCGGCCCCACTCTTTGGTGTTTTCAGTGTTGACTCTACATGCATTCTTAGGGAAAATTCAAACAGTAGGAAAAAAACCAAACTTTTTTAGGCATTATCATAAATGTAACAAAACAAACATGAAAGTAAAAAAATAAAACCACTACTAGAGAGTTTGGGGAGAGAAATGCCTTTTTAATAGAGACATAAATTATATTATTAAATTTAGTGTTCCTAGAAAGTAGTTTCTCATCTCTAAAAATAGTTACATATGAGCTTAACAACAAAATAGAAATTTGTTCTAATTTTAGATCTTATGAGTTTTGTTATAATTAGGAATGCCAAATTCTAACACAAAGGATAATAACAGAACATTCTTTGAATATTAAAATAATTCTTCCAAAGCTTACATTAAGCTTTATAAATTTCAGGCACATTGTTGTTTCTGAAATTCATCCCAAGATACATACAGTCGTGCGTTGCTATGAAAGACCTTTGGTTGAAATAATGAACTCTGGATGTTGAAATAGTTGATTTATCGGATTTTGGCATATCTGCTGCCTTTCTTTGGCTAAACATTCAGATTGGGACTTTACTAGGATTATCTAATCTTACTCCATTCTTGGAAGTTCAGCTTCTGCACATGGAGGGAAAACAGGAGACCCTCCTGAACTGTTACACAGTGAATATTTAGCTCTACATTAAATGAATGTTTAATTTCCAGTAATGTTGAATTCAGCTGCATACCTCTGTGGTTATAATATTTTAAACCTTTAAAACACATGGGTTCTCAAATAGTGACATACTTTTTCCTAATTTTTCCCCTTGACTAGCATTTTTGTTATTACCCTCAATGTCTACTTCAAACAAATTTTATGCAGTTTACAATCCTGGAAACATATGGCTGCCGCCTACAAGCTCTTTGTGCGCCTTGGCAAACAGCCACATGCAATATTGATGAATGATTTCCTGAATGAGGAGCACAGAACCTTGCTTTTATCCATTTTTATACTTGAGTGCAACTTTTAAACATATGATTGGACATTTTCTTCTTTTCTGTCTTCCATCCCCCTCCTCACCTTTCTGCTTTTGTCTTCCATTTCATCGATTCAGTATTCCTGTCCCCAGGTAGACCAATTTTTGCTGTCATCTTATTTGAGGTTCTTGTCAAGCAATAACAGTGTAATATTCACCCTGGAGTGTTTCTACCTTTTGCTTTCTCTTGAATCCTCACTTATTTTTCAACTTTGAGAGTAGGGACCCATCTGTTTTTTATTTTGTACTTCTGGGCTATAGAAAAATCCTCAAAGCAGAACTGCACGTTGTTTTGCAAGCCTCCTATTGAGAACCTATGTAGATTTCTGTTCTATTTAGCATTAATTGGGATGAGGGTTATGTGTAATTTGCTCCTTCAAAGCAAGGCATTTGAAAGGAAGGAGTACATCCTTTCAGGATACAGACCAGATCACAGACAGGAAGAGGTGAGGGCTTTGTCTGTGCTACATCAGTAGCACAAGAAACATCGGACCGGGCACACACTGTGCTCAGTCTGAGGTTCCCCAACACTCAGTCCCTAGCTCCCCCCCCCCCCCCCCCCAGTGTTGCTGCCTTCCTCTGGGGAATCTGGCTGTGAGGTAACTGGCTGCTGAGTGCAGAACAAAGGCTGGAAGCAGCCGCCACTTAGAGTTGACTGGGGCCTCTTGTGATCCCCTTGTGTCCATGCACTCTGGAGTTTTGCAGTCTGATACTCTGCTACTCTGTCATTAGATCAAGTCACCGATGGAATTTATGGATATAATGGTTTTAATGATTCATGGGTTGCATTTACTGTCATTAGATCTGTCACTGGTTGAATTTATTGATTTAATATTGGGTTATTTATTTTTGTACAATACAATGATGGTCTAATACTTGTGTTTTGGACCTACTTCTGATTTGAAGAGCATTGGTTTACTGTATACCATGTGAAAAATAAAAATGACAATTTTTTGGATTAGTATCTAAATATTTTGCATAGGGAAAACCCATAAGGGGTGAGAGAAATAGGTGTAATATACACATTTATATATATGTGTATGTACATATACATGTATATAGTCACATATCCATGTCTGTATATATATATATATATATATATATATATACACACATATATAAACACATGTGTACATATTATTTCTACATACTGTTTAAATGGAACCTGGCATCCATCAGTTATACAGAGCTTATTAAACTATTTGTGGAAATCAATATAACAGTGCATTGCCAGTATTTGTGTTGCAGAAGTCTTTTAAACATCAAATCTTACTATTAAAAAGTTGAGTACCATCATAACGAAAAGCTTTGCTACTAGAATGTTTTGTTGTCATTTGAGAAAATTATCATTAGTATTAAGTTAGAAAAGCTCCCTATCAGTTTATAAATTGAGAACAAAGGGCAAAGGCTGAACGTATGTCGCATAAATTCAAAGATGTCTTAATCCTCGCTCCCATAGTCCCTATCCTTAATGCCTCTTTCAGAGACCATCTGCAAAGTAAAGAGGAAAGCCTTCGAAGGCTTAATCTACACCTTCCAGGCTGGTGTCAGCCATTTCGGGCAGCTGGAACCTAGCTGAGGGCTCTGGGGGCAGCTCCTCTGAGGCTGCTGGCGGTGGCGGGCTCCTGGACTCACTCCCAAGCACCCCACTTGGAACATCCTCCTTTGTTAGGGCTGGTAGGACAGCGCCATTGGCCTCAACCCCAGATAGAGGGGTTTGAGTGGGGGCCTGGCCTGTGGCTTCCGCATGAGCACCCCGGGCTGGGAGCGTCTGGCCGGAGGGCTCTGCATGCGCGCAGCCCCGGGGTCCAAGCACTGGCGGGGCGGCCTGGGCGGGAGCCCGCCAGCCGGGGCCGGACGCCTCTGCCTCTGGCGCTGGCTCTCGGGCCGGCGGGTCCGCCTGAGCTGCGGTCGGCGCACTGCGGCCTCCCGGCCCGTCCTCTGATTCCTCCGATTTGGTCGGGGGACGGTCGGCGGCGCAGGCCGGCGGAGGGGCCGGTCCCGGCAGGCTGGCGGCGGCCTCGCCCCGCTGGGGGCCGCCCTGCGCCCCGGGGCCGGCGCCTGGGTCGAGGGCGGGCTCTGCGTGGGGAATCAGGAAGGCGCTGGCCGAAGTCTTCGCGGCGTTGTGGACTCGGTTGACCTCGTCGGCATCCATCGCGGTACTCACGGAGCTGTCTGGCCCTGGCTCTTCATCAGACGCATGCTGACCTTGGTCCTCCTTCTCAGGCGTTTTTGCTTCTCTGATTTTTTTATAGAGTTCGTTTCTCTCTTCCTGTAACGCGCGGCAGAGCTTCTCCAGCCTTCCAATTTTCATCACGAAGCACTCATATTCCTTAGCCCGCAGTGCTTTCTGCAATTCAAACACACATACACAAGATGACATTAACAACAAAATTTCCAGGATACTTTCTGGAGACAAGCTATTTGTCCCAGAATTTGTCTGTCAAGGTCTGAGGCATGGCCACAGAATGGTGGCTAAATAGTGGTCAGGGACATTTAAAAAAAAAAAAAAGTTGATGTTGTGTGCTAGAATCTGGTAGAATTTTAGTCACTATTACCTGTTCTTTAGAAAGATGCAAAGCTTCTCTATGCTTTGGTCCAGAGCCCCTCAACTCCTAAGGCAGGGGGATTTTCTAATTTTAAGATTTATAAGGTGTAAGACAATTTGTGGCAAAAAAAGCAAAAAAGATACACTGAACTGCCTCTTCTTCAGTAGTGCCATATCTATTCGATAGGTACATTACTGTACCTAACTCCAGCCCCATTTTATTTATGTCAATGAGTAGTAAGTAGGTATCTGTAATGGTTGATGCACTGTGTCAGCTTGAGGAATTTAGAAGTTTAAGTGACTCAGGGAGCCAGGTTCCTCACTTTGTAAGTATCCTGAACCTTTGCAAGAGGGGGGCACAGAGATGGTCCCAGGGCTCCATTTGCCCAGGAGTAGTGGCCTGCTTACAGTGTAAGAGAGAAGAAGCTTGCTCCCCGCTTTTTGGCTCTTGCTGTTTTCCTGTCTTCTGCCGCCGCTGTGCTGACATCCCGCCTGGGAGCCAGCTAATTATGGACTGAAACTTCTACAAGCCATGAACTAAATAAACCTTTCTGTCCTTAACTGGATGCTGGGTAGATTGTCCCAGCCATGAGAGAACAGTAACTAAGACAATATCTTTGGAATTTGATTGCAATTTGGGATAAGATATTAGAACCATAATTATAACCACAGGAACAACCACACACTAATTCTTGATGCTGGCTACACAAACTATTCTTTTCACTAGACATGATAATGTGTTTGTACATGAACATATTCCAAATCTTCTCACTCTTTACCTCCATCTTTGAGTTATTCTGTACTTTTTGAACCTTTCTTACTAGTTAACATAAAGAGATCTTCACCTAGAAGCTCCTCTCTCAGGTCAGGAGCCTTCTATCTTTATCTTTAGAATTACAGAGCCCAACAGACCTGGTATACACTACTTAAATGCTTGTTGGAGGAATTACAATTTTTTTCACGTCTATCTAATTTTAATACCATATACCTGCAGTGCTTGAGCTGGTTGGTGCCTTTTCTTAGTTTATGCAAATCAGTTAATTAGTTCATGTTAGGTGCTAGGCATAGAGGACCTTCAAAGCCAAGTAAGATACTACCTTTGAGTAATCCACAGTCCAAAAGTCAGGTAGTGCTCTGAGGACAGCTTCTGAATCAATATATGTGTGACTTAGGGTCACAAAGCTTTTGTGAGTAAGGCTGGGGTTCAGAATGATCTTTGCTCTTACTCCTGTTACAACTTGACATGGCATATCCCCCAATGTTTACCTATTTTTCAAATATAATCACCTTTACTATTAGATTGTTATACTCTCAGAATGAATACTGTAGCTAAGTGGGACAGAAACTAAGAGGAAAATGCCTTACTTACCTCTTCTATCATGTCCAGTAACGCTTTGTTACAGTTTTCAAACCGGGCTTTCCACGTGGCTGTGTCCTTTTCCAGCTTCTTCATCTTTTTAGTTGTCTACAGAAATTAGAGTGTTTTAGTTTAATCCCAAAGCGTTAATGTTTCAGGGAAGCTATTAGTTCCGTATGTGACATCAAGAGCAGTCCTTTCGTTACCAGCTGGCTAAAGCAAACAAATGGTCAGTGTCAAGAATGAAATCGTGGAAGAGTCTCATGATTTATTTCCTACTCCTCTGGGTCAGTGGTGAGCAAACGTATTCGTACCAGTGACTGTTCCAGAGGAAGGAAACTACTTAAGGATGAACTGTTCGTTACTGCTTTTTCTTTCATTTAAAATAAAAATATCTTTACCGAGACCCAGGAATAAGCTTGCAATTTGGATCACTCACTTTACTGAAGTAAGGAAGTGCTATGGCTTTTAGCCATTAAAATGTTGATCATAATGGTACATTTGAGAAGGAGCCACATGAAAGCCACTTTCCTTTTTCTCCATCTCTGTGTTGGTATGTGGCTGGAGAATTTATAAATGTGATTATATGCATTATTCATTTAATATTTGAAACATTCCCATAAGCAAGTTTTATTTTCACCCCTACTTCATAAATGGGGAAACGGAAGCTCAAAGAATGGAGTGCTTTCAGGTGAGCTAACAAACAGGGCGGATGAAGCTACCTCATTTCATTCCATGCGCACATGCAGGGTGTCTGCTGGTGTCCAGGCTGAGGTGAGTGTTGTGGATACAGAAATGAGTAACATGTAACCTGCATTACTCATGGCTGCTCACTGTAGGATCTCCTCTCTGTGGAGCACCTATACAAGATTTATAAGCAGGTCAGGTTTCCACAGATGTGTAGCTAGGCATTTGGGACCAACCTGCCCGAAAGCTGGCTGTTCTTGGAAACTGGAGGCTATGCCAGATTGTCACCTCTGACTCTAAGACAAGCCAGGTGAGTCCTCAATGGATTTTTTTTAAACTTTGACCACATATTAACCAAGATAATCATTTATAAACTTTAAGGTCGTTAACCCTTTTAAGAATTTGGTGGGATAAATGGGACCACATTTCTTAGAAATGAAAATATTCACATCAGGCTCCCCTACCTCCTTATTTGCAGGGAATTCTCAGAGAAACTACCAAAGTTCTTAATTGGACTTCATATTAGGAACGCTTGATTTAACATTTATTCCAATTTCAAAATATATAATTTTGAAATAAAAGCATTTTATCTCTCCTTTAGTCTGGTCAGCCCAGAATGATAAAAATTTTAATGGATAGGTCTACCATGGAGTAAAAAAAAACGTATAACTTTTAACAAACATTAACCTTTTAAATTTGTTCACTTAGTTGTGAAATTTGTCATTTCTCCAACTCTGTGTTGCTATGTTGCTGGAGAATTTATAAATGTGATTATATGCTTTATTCATTTAATATTTGATACTTTTTAAAGAACCCTTTCTATACTTAAAAATGCTTAGTGCCAGTGCTTATTCAGAAACATAATTCTGATGCTGATGTATGTTGCAAAAACACTGAACTGCACAAAATTTAAACATTATTTTTTTATTGGGTCTTGAGAATGTTTTGTGCTCTTATGTTTGCTTCTTCTTTGTAAGAGAGAGTCTTTTTTTGTCTATGACTTGTATCATGAGTAATATTTTGGTGATTCTTTTAAGATTTTGATATACAATGTACTGATATCAATACATGAATGAATATAATGATCGTTATATTCTCTAATTATTTTGTTATACATTTTGTTTTCTATAGAAGTAAAAGTGCTTCTTTTTTAAACATGTTTCTTGATATTCTCTTTATTAAAACCTACTTGTATTATATTAAAGTTAAAAAACCAATATACCCAGTAGTATTATCTTTTAGTTGTGAAAGACTTTCAAAAGTTGAGACAACAGTTGAACTATATTAACTTACTTGAATTTCACAATCTCGTGAGACAGATAAAATAATGTCTCAATTTATAGGAAAAAAATAAAATTCAAGAGAGGTAAGTGAATTGTGCAGCATGACTTGTTGAGTATAGTTACATCCAAATTTGAATTCAGGCTCCCATCTTCTCATTTAGGGCTTCTCATTCATATGTTATGTTACATATCTTCCCTTTTAAGAAGGATCTATTAGGCCAGGCATGGTGGGACATGCCTATAATCCCAGCACTTAGCAGGCAGAGGCATGAGGATTGCTGTGAGTTCAAGGGCACCTTGAGATACATAATTCAAGGGTGCCTAAACTATTTAGCAAACCCTTGTCACAATATAAAACCAAAACAAAACAACAAAGCTATCAAATGATATTTTCTAACATTTTACTATTATATGTTTGTATGAAAAGTGTTTTGTAACTTTCAGAAGACTAGGATTTTTTTAAAATAAAGCTAAATATGGAATAGAAAAGAAGTATTCTTTCTCAGAGTAAAAATGTATCCTAGCCTTTTTAGATTCTTGTTAAGATTAATTCCCCAGATATTTACCAATAAAATAGACAGTTCAAACCTCATTCCTATCTATAAACATTTCATTGGCTTATTAAATGCACTGATATATCTTAGCAAGAGAAAAATAAACAAAAAGAATTGCCTGTCAAAATAGAAAATGTCAGTATTTGGTGGATGATAAATAATACTCACTCTATCCATTTCCTGTTTGAAAGTAGCAAACACTTCATTGCTTTTTGTCAGTGTGCTCTGGAACTCTTCAAACCTTCCTGAGTAGAGTGTAAGCTGTAAACAGAGGAAAGAGTGCGTCTATTTTAGGTCTGCTGTCAGAACACTTCCAGAACAAAACAATGTGTCATTGCTCATTATGGGGGAAGAAAAGTGATTTAAAGGATTCTCAGTATGGTGTTAGTCATGTATTACTTCGTTGCTATAAGATTAATATAGGTCAGTGAGCATGAGTAGAGTGCTCCTTTAAAGAAAAAAGGAAATAATAAATGTTATCATCATTTCATGATATCATAATTTTACCACCAAGATCCTTTGTTCATTTCCCAGTACCATAAAAAATGATAAAGATAATGTAGCTAGGACACAGACAATGATTGACAAGGGCTACTGCCACTGTGGGTTGTGCACCACTTTAAGTAGTTGCTATTTTGGTTTAAACTTCATAGTTTTATATATTTATGAATCCTGTATACTGTTCTAGCCAATAGCAGTTGAAAATGGTCCTTTCATCAACATTAGCTTATTACACTAATTTTCTACAGATTAAAGTAATGAGTATTGATGGAGAGATGCCTTGTTTTAATTTGCAACAAAAATTCTATGGGTTACCATCCGTGATGTATGTGGCCCATTATAGGGGTATTGAGACAAGCCATTGTATCGCCACATCTTTAATTCCAAGACTTGGAATGAGGATGGGGTAGTTAGTTAACACTTGATTGTTAGTGACTAACAAAATACATCTTGCTTTTAAAATTATGTAAAGATAGTATGTTCAGAGTGAGAGAGATTTAATATGAATGATTCAAGTTAGTGAAGCCTCATTTTCAAATTTGGTACTCTTGAGTGTCCAGACAACCCCTGGTCCTCATATGAGCACAGAAATGCCTCTTGTGCATACTCTGGCAGCATTCAATAAACCAGAACCCACAGCTACTCTTGGTAGACAGGGATGGCTGGTGTGCTGCCAGCAGGAAGGTACCAACTGACCATGTGGCAGTTGTGAGGCTCCTAGGAAGGAGAGAAGAGCACACAGACTGAAAGCCAGCAGCTTGGAGAGCTCTCAGTCTTCAGCATGGTGTGTGTGTGTGTGTGTCAGTCAAAACCCCCTGGATTCCATAAAATTACTTACCTAGAATAATGTATTACCAAATAATTCAGAATAGTGAGATTTCAGTCACGTAAACAAAATTTTAGCATAAATTCTTTCTATAGCATGCACATTTTTCCAATTAACAACTATTATTCTGAAATTGCTCATTTACCCTAAGAGTATGTGAAAGACTTGAAATTGTTTCTCATGATATCTTGGCATACAGGTTACACAAGACTCAATAAAGGAGCATCAGGGGCTTTTGTGGGTCTGGTTACTCACATACATTACACATTGTCCTGCTGTCTCTGGTAAGAAAAACTACCCCTAGCAGGTGATGAGGTCTTCTACTATAGAATCTGTTCATTTGTGATGTTAGCCAAGCCCTCCAGTAGACTTCTTATTTTCTCCAATTTATCAGTGATTGCAGGAGTTAAATGGGGGGCCCAGGAACTGTGGGTTCCTGGACTGATCCTCCCAAGCCTCCTCTCATAGCTGAAGCTGGAGGCTGCAGACAAGAAACAGCAGGAGTGAGCCCACGGCTGGTCCTCTCTCCAGACGCAGTGTTGACAGAGTGAGCAGGAACAACCGTTCTCAGCCCTTCACTTTCAATAGTAGCTGATGTGCCGTCATGTTTTGTGGTGAGATAGTTTGCACCCACCAGTGTGCCTGTCTTACTTTTTCGTGTGACCTGTAGGTTATTTTCCTATCCTGTCTCAAAGTAAAGGTAGTAAGAAAAAAAAAAACAAAACAGAATTTTTTTGTGAGTTAACTGGGGAGATGTTTACCTTTCTCATGTTTTCGTGTTGCTGGCTTGTGGCATGAAAAAGACAGACACGCCCACAGTGCCAAGAAGTGTACCTTTCTTCCCCATAACCTTTTGGAGGCTTTTCCTAGAGAGTGTTTTTGTTCTTGTATTGTTTTCCTTAAACGTCTGGAAACAATTGTGGTAAAAGGCACACAGCATGCACCCTAACGGTTTTAAACTGCACGGTGCAGTCGTGTGGCTTTCACAATGCTGAGCCAATCTCCAGAATTGTTTTATCTTGCAAAATGGAAATGTCACACCCATTAAATAACTCCCCCTGTCCTCTGAGCGACCAGTGTTTAGTATTCTGCTCTTCTTTCTATTGACCTCTTTGTCATAAGTGGCAAAACCTGCCACTTACATATTTCTTGGGTAACCAGCTCCAAGTCTTCTGGTTTTTTTTTTCTGGATACTCAATAGTATTTTACCTCTGACTATTATGCTGACATAATGCATGTTTGGTTTCACATGCAATATTGCTACACTCACTTTGGGATTTTAGAGAAGCAAAGAAAGGACATCCAGAGGTCATGTGCAGGATTTTTCCTGCCAGGCCAAAAATAGAAGCAAACTGCTCTTTGGTTAGAAGTAATGGAAATTGCCTCAATACTTCACTTTTAAATGGGCCAAGGGAGACACACATTCTTTTAACTGAGCACTAAATTTTAATTAAAAACATTTGTAGTGTAGGAAACAGAACTGTGCCTAGGAATTGTCTCAGCAAGCCTGTGAGATTTGGTTTGGTACTGAGTGTTGCTGCAAGAGAAGGCGGTCTTCTCATCCTCTACAGATGCAGGGAAGACTTCTGATTCTACAGATTATCATTATACGTTTTTAACAATTTACTCTCTGTTCTTTCCCCTGGTGTGTGTCTGTGCAGTCACATATTGCAGGCTTTCCACCTCTGCTACTGTCTTCATCCTTATTGATCTGATGAACACTCCATTTGTAGTGACAACTGTATCCCATTGATCATCTCTGACAGTTACTCTATTGCCTCGGTGTGTATAATTGAAAGCCAGACATCTCTTCTCTAAGTGAGAAACGCGCTTTCAGCTGGCCAGCTGTTGTCTTATGACTGAAAAGTGACTTCATGTTGGAAAACAAGGTAATTTGTCTCTGGTATTTGTATTGTTCAGGCCTAGCAATGGGGACAAAGGCCTTGGCCTCCTGCCACTTCCTCCTCTTCAAGGACAGTGAAAAACTGAGGGGGAATTTGAGTGTATGCACAGCAGTAGGGTTTGTTTTCCAAGGTTTAAAGTTTGTATTCATTTATTTATCTCTTTGGGTTGGGGTCTCACTGTTCAGGCTGGCTCTAAATAATCCTTCTGCCTCAGCCTCCAGAATAGCTGGGGCTACAGATGTGAGCCCCAGGCCCACCAAAAGTATTTAACATAAGAACATTAATATTTCTTGTTTAATGCTTAAACATTATTATGTTTATTTTCTTTATTTTCTTTATGGCTGAATAATTAGTGGAATTTTTGAAAGTGCCTTGGAGATTGGAAGAGGAAAAACAAGCAAGGTCTTTGCAAATGGTGAATCTAGCTGCCCTGTGATGACCTGGGGACTCTGGTGGAGAAGATGGGGTATGTTAGCTCTGCAAATTCTCTGCGTACATGACCTAGAGCCAAAAGGGGTCTTGAGATTCTGTTTTCCAGTAGTGCTTAAACTTTTTTGTAACTGAAGATTCCCTTTGTTTTAGATTTCCTTGTATGGATTCCTACCTATGAAATAATACTAGTTTATAGTAGTTTGTGCTCTAAATAATAGTGAGTGTTTTTATTAGCCATATTGTTAGCATTAGATTAATTAGTTCAATTAGGTAGAGATGTCTGTCTCTTATTGATTACTGTATCTCTAACATCTAGAACTATTTAGTAGGTGCTCAGTAGCTATTAGTTAAATTATTCATGCTTATGGATCAGGCACTGAGTTACGTGTTTTGCATACACACTGCATGAATTCCATATCTACTAAGTCACTGTCCGTTTAAACATTAAATGTGTGAATAATTGCCATCCACAGTTGAAGAGAAAGCGCTGACGTGATGTCAGAAGCAGCTGCAGTTCCGAGTGGCTGCAGCCTCAAGTGCTGTTGTTTTGGAAACACTGAAAACTCACGGGCCTCACAGAGGTGAGAACACTCTAGTTAGGATCACTGATGTGTGACAGTGATCTTCATGTTACAGACAAGGAAGTTTAGATCTAAAGAGGTACAGGCGAGTTGCCCAGGGTCACAGAAGGACCAGGATTCTGACCCCGGTGTTCTAGACTCTGCTCAAGACAGTTCAGGAATGAGGAATCTGGCAAGTCTAGAATTCCTGGTAGATACTTTTTCAAGTTTGAGGAGTACAGTTGGGAAATTGGGTCACATCCTATATTTTTATGTCACAGATCATTAAAAGCTTAAATTCTGCTATCAGTTGAATGAGTCACTGGTTAGCTCAGAATGCAGTAATATTAATCTAGTCTTCTCGAGTTCATTGTGTGTATTTAGCGCAGAAGAGTAGAGACTGTGTGTAACAGATGATGTGAACAGTGCATAACTTCAAGTATTGTCCATTGTTTCTTTCAAGCTCTGTGTTGCAAACGAGGCAAGGATAGATCAGAAGCCCTGGCTTGATTCTCTGGTGTTCCCACCCCTAGCCGGTAAGGTCATGCTGTATTTTCTATATTCAGGTTAAAGACCCCACCTGCTTGCCTACCCCTACACCACGATGTGATGGCTTTGTGACTCCCTTGAGATTGATCTTGAGTAACTTACAGTCCTTTGGTTCTACTAAAAATCAGAAAGATTATGTTTCCCATCTCCAAGTAGTTAGTCTCTAAAACTGTTTTCATATCTTTTCAGAGAATAGATCTGAAAACAATTTATCATTCCATTCTTTATGCACATTGCAAAAGTATACTTTAGGGAAGCTATGTCTAAATTTTTTTTGTGTTTTTGTCTGTGCAATGGTATATTTTATTTAAATTTTGTCTTTTTTTCTTTTATGATGAAAAGATATTCATTGAACGTGTTCATTTATATGTTTTTTTTTTTTTTTACAATTGAACAAGGATTCTACAGTCAGCACATAAACATTTACAAATCTTAAATTAATGCTGCCTTATATGGAAGGCCTCTGATTTCCTCTCCTTCTGTCAATTTGCTGTGTGATCCCACATTCCCTTTAGCACCTGGACATTTCTCCCAGAAGCAGAGGTGACGTCTCCTGTTGGCCTGTGTCAGGGTGGTTCTGGAGCCTGACAAGCAGTGTGTGGCAGGAGGGGAGGAGCCCTGAGGGGGATGGGGAGGATGGATAGGCCTGGCTTTCTCCCTGAAGCAACTGTGTCAGGAGCCTTTATTTTTGAGCCCAAATTGGTCTTCTGGCAGTGTAGTCAAAACCTGAAGAACACTGTGAAGCCCGGGGAAGTGGCTGCTGGCCTGCCTTCTGCTTTCAGTCCTGCTGTACCACAGGGCCAGCCACTGACAGCACAGACACCAGGTGCTGGCAACTGTGCAGAGCAATGATACCAAAATATGAGGCCATTTTAAGAATTGTCGGTTACTAGCGATACATCTGAGCAGCTTACATTTTCTTCTTCCTTAGGAGGCTGATAGGGGAGGGGAGTGTGGGCGATATGCACTGACAGGTGCTAGCCTGGATGTTAACTTCCTGTGACAGTTCTGATGCCACTGTTTGTCAACAAACCTTTCGGCTGGGGTGCTGGTACACAGGATGCCTTTTACCTAGATATAATACAGTGCTGTGCTTTTAATTTTACTTAGAAACAATAAATGCAAAGGACTTCGTTTCCACACCCCACCTCCTCGGTGCCCCTCAAACAGTGCCCGGTCCACCCCCGGCCCAGCCTCTCGGGGCCTGGCGAGCGCGCAGAGCCTGCGTCCTTCTCGCCCGCGTCACCTGAGCCTGCAGCGCTGTCTCTTGTTCCTTCAGCACTTTAGCCTGAAGTTTCCACTCCGCCGCCTGATTCAGCAACTGCGGGAAGAGAGAACGCACGGAAACAGTGTCGGCTGGGTTTTAGATCCGCCTGAAATTTGTATATAAAACAATTTTTTCTAATTAAGCTTCTTTAGTATTTTTGGGGGAAGACCTTGTAAGAAATTCTAAGAAAGCTAAGTAAACAATCCAAAGTGTTGCATTCTTAATTTAAAACCAGTGTTTTGGTTTATGTGGTGTTTTGGTTTTTTTGCTGTGCTTGAGCCAAAAATTTCACACGTTAGGCAAGTACTTTTCCACTGACCTACGTCGCTAGAGCAAAATTAGCGATCTTTGTGGGAAAAAAATGCCTCTACCATGAATCACACAAAATTCAATCTCCCACTAAATTTTGGAATCTTCTCTAGCCATCCATCACTAGCCTCTACTTGAGTATCTCCAGAACCTCCCTACCTGAGCGCTGCTGCCAGGAAGTACTCCTTTACATTAACCCGGATTTATTCTCTTAGATCCTGCACTCCAGCCCAGCTGGCCAGTGCAGGAGATATATTGGCTTGATCTCTGTCCCCTGATCCCGAGACACAGCTCTTACCATGCATTGGAATCTTCTCGGGAGCCTGTTAAAAGGCAGATCCCACTCAGAGAATGATTTAGAGTGTGATTAAAATCTGTCTTTACAGCAAATCCAGTTCGGATTACTGTGAGAAACAGAAGTTTGACTTATTTTTCTAATTACGGTTCCCTAGAGGTTTGCAAAGGAAGAAGCTTCATCTCTTTTCCACAAGGTATCCTTTCAGATGCAGTAAAACATGGTTAACATGGTCAGAAACAGGAACTCATGTGTTAAACTGAAGATGCTGATTTTAGTGTGAAACTGGCATATAGATGTAAAACGTGTTGTTTTAACTTAAGATGTGTGTTAATTAGCAACTTTGATGTGGTCTGTTTTGGGTTAGGGTACTTTCGTTAAGAGTTCAGAGTTTTATTTTATAAAATTCATGCTTACAATGTTTCATATAAAACCTCTAGTTTTTTTTAAAACTGTATTATAAAGTAAACATAACTTATAACTTGTAACTCCTATAGAGGCTGGGGCAGTTGCAAAATAGACCTCCAGTGCCACCTCTGGGCATCTGAGGAGCGTGCTGGCTATATGCCGGGCTTTGCTTTTCAGCCTGTTAGAATGGGTGATTGCTGATCTAACACTAGGTTAGTGGCTGTGATTCTGTTTGTGTGGAGAAATCCCACTAGGACTCATATATGGCGATTCTCAAAATGCATTACAAGAGCTGCAATCCGAGCAGATGGTCACCTTTGAAGAGCTACGGCAGCTGCTCCTCTCTGACCCAAGTCTGCTGTTTTGCTAAACCGACATAGAAAAACTAGACAGTGTGCTAATGCCTGGCTAACGCTGGGTCGCCACCAATCTCTCTAGCCTCCCTCACGGGTATCTTTGCTCAGTTCTTCCTTTGTTATATCTCAGGTGTAAGAAAGCAATACTGATCTCCAGCAGGAAGAATATTTTGTCTATGAGAATAAATTTTTTCCTGGATTTTGAATAATAAACATTTTACTGCTCTGAGAGCTAGACTATAGGTGAGTTTAATAAATTAATATTTCTCTTAAGAGAAAGAGATTTCCAATTGAAATTATCCAATGATCCTAAGTTTGTATTCTCCAAAATTCATCTTTTTGTTTCCATGCATGAAAATTGAAGTTATTTTAAAATTAGTGTTTTACAAATTGGAGTGATTCTGGTCTCGTGAGTGAAATAAAAAGCTTGTGTTCAAATGTCCAATGACCAAATTTGAATAATTGGTCTGTCGATTGTGTCTTAAATCTCTCTCCCTACCAACTGATCTTGCTTCAACTTAAATATCTGTAACACATCTTTGGGTATGAAGTGCTATTACAGAGATCTTGGGCTTTGGGAACAAATGCTTTTGCCAGACACATCTTGGTGACTTATCTGTGTGTGACCTTAAGCAAGTTATATGCCTTATTTAAACTTCACTTTTCACATCTGTGACCGGCCCTACAGCTTTTGGAGGATGTGTGGGGCTACTAATGTCACTAAACACCACCATTCATTTTCTTTAGTGCAAAACTCAGGAGTCCTCCTTGACTTACCCGCTTCCCACTGTCATCCTGCTCAGGTCAACAGCATTGCCTGTCAGTTTACATTGAAAACTTCTATTAATCTGTCCCTGTCCTTCCCGGCTGTCTCATTGCTGACTGAAGTCACCATCAGATCTGGGCTGGATTGCTATAATAACCTCTCTTGGTTTCTTGCTCCTCTTTAATCCATTTTCCACCTGGGTCCTAAATTAATCTTGTACAGATATAAAGCAGGTCATGTCACTTTTTTGCTAAAACTGCTCCATACTTTCTCCTTGTATTTAGAATAAAATCCAAACAAATTTTCAGGCTGTGCAAAGCTACGCAACTCGATCCTTGCTTACTTCTGCAATTTCATTTTGATTCTTTCTCCTTTTCCTACCTCTGGAGCATGTCAGGCTGATCTCAGCATCAGGATTTAGTCATTGTTGGATACTGTCGATGATGACTCTGCATGGTGGCTCTGCATCAGGCAGGGCTTGGCTCCTGCATCTTCCCTTCTGGGAGCCTTCTGATCACCCAGTCTAATGTATTCTCCCCCAGAACCACTTTGGGCCCTTCTCAGTTTCTCCTTATTTTCTTAATAGCACTGACTTTTAGCTACAGTTACCCTTCCTTGTATGTCAGCTTGTTACTGCCTGTCTCTTCCCAGTCAAACTATAACCTGCATGGCGGGAGATGGCCCTTCGTTGGCTTGTTCACAGCTATACTGTAGGACCAAAGGTAGTGCTCAGCAGACACTAGCCATCTGAAAAATATTTGCTGAATGACTATTTTACGTGAGAAATAGTGTAGAGACACTGCTCATATCAGGCAGGCTCACTTAATTCTCAAAGAAGCTCAGGCTCCTCCTCAATCAATGTGGTACTCCTTGACCATTATCAGAACAGTTTCTACCGCCCGGGTAGACCAGACATGCACAGCGACCGAAAGGATAAGTACATATTCCTTTTCTCGATTGTGTCGCTCCTCTGCTTCTTTCATCATTTCTTGTGCTTGCTCAAGTTTTGCATCCACCAGCTTCTGCTGGAGCTCTCTGTGTTTAAATATTTTGTCCAGATGCTAAGGAAAAATAAAATACACATAGACAACATGGTTTAGTATTGGTTTTAAAAATGCAAAATAGAAATAATTCATGTGAACACACATTCCCTAAGCTTAGGACTTAAAGAATAAAGGAAGAATAAATGGACCTGCATCACTTAGGGCCTTAATTTAGGCCATAAATTGATGAAGGTCTACATACTTTGCACTATACAAACAAGTGGAAAAGGTGCAGGTACCAGAGTTCAGCATAACACCTAAAGCTCCTAACCTTATTTTTCTAAATTTGGTAACCATTTGATATTTATTATGCTAGACAGCATAGACAGTGAAACCATACTACAAGGGCTGCTGCACTGTCATCGAGTATTCTGGCTCTTTCTGTGAATATAAAGCCTTTTTTAAGCACAGCATTAATACAGCTTACCAAGGTGAGTTCTCCACATTTTGCCTCAAGGATTGTGAGAATGTCTTGTTTGGGGTGCCAATATGTGGTCTTGAGGATGGGAGTAAGAACCAAACCCCTGAATTCTCTGTTGCTTTGGGGGTGCCATAGTTTGGAACCGAAATGTCATCCAAAAGCCCTTGTTTTAAAAGCTTAGTGCCCAGCTCAGTGCTAGTGGGCAACTTACAGAAAACAGAAGAGGTGGGGCTTCGGGGAGATCTTCTAGTCATCGGAGGCATGCCTTGGAAGGGTATAGTGAGACGTCACCCCTCCCACTTTCTCTCTCTTTCTTCCTGGCTGCCAGAAAATAAGCAGCTTTGCTCTGCCGTGTGTTTCTCACTGTGATGATGTGCTGCCTTGCCCCAGGCTCAAAAGCAATGGAGACAGTTGACGATGAGCAGAAACCTCTAAAGTTGTGAGCCAGACTAAACATTTTTCCTCTAAGTAAGATGATTATCTCAGGTATTTGATAATGTAAAACTAACACAGGTAGAGATTCTAAGGCCAAGGGTCACAGATAAGTTGCTATGCAGATACACACTGCTCTATACACCTGGTGACCTCTGGGCTGGCCAGATGAGAAATTTTCAACTCTTATATCAGTGTGAAGAGTTTCTTGGTCATGGGAAGTCTCATCAGAAAGAGTACATGTGAAATTCTGTCCTTGAAGAAATATTATTCATAGTAGCCTTAAGAAAATTACATAGGAATTAACAAAGAAACAAAAGAACTCTACCAAAAAAAAAAAAAAAAAAAAAAGAGCCTGCAGTACTCTGAAAAAGGAAATTGAAGAGTACATCGGAAAATGGAAAGATATACCATATTCCTGAACAGGAAGAGCAACTATTGTCAAATTGGCCAAACTATTAAAAATGAGATATAGATTTAATGCAATCCCAATTCAAATACCAACAGTATTCTTCACAAGACTAAATAAAACAATTCTAAAATGCATATGCAGTCAGAAGAAACCCAGAATAACAAAAGCAAAGCAGGAAGTATCACAATCCCAAACTTCAAGTTATATTACAAAGCTACAGTGATAAAAACAGCATGGCATTGGTACATAACCAGAAACGTGGATCAGTGGAACAGAAAAGGGGATGCAGAAACAACCTCAGGCAATTCAGTCATCTGATCTTTGGCAAAGGGCCCAAAAGCATACACTGGAGGAAAGATACTGGGAAAACTTGTCATACACATATAAGAGGCTGAAGTTAGATCCCTATCTCTCATCACATACTAAACTAAAATCAAAATGAATCAAAGATTAAATATTAAAACAACAGTTAATTTTCTGGAAGATAAATGAGGTGCAACTCTTGAAGACATAGGCATAAGGAAAGACTTTTTGGCCACACCCTACCACCTCCAAACAGCAAGCAGGGCCCAGAATCCAGTCCCAAGCCCTGACCACACGTGCACAGTTTGAATTTCAGTGCACAGGGAAAACTTGGAACTTTGCTCCCAGGTGGTAAGACCATGCCTTGCATCTGAAATCACCAAAGGACACACAGAGTCCCGAGGGGCAGGTAACTGGCCCACACCCACTGAGCTCCAAGTGGCAAGAAGTTGCCAGCAGTCTGCCTCGGGAGCCAAAGGTGGGCCAGGTGATTCCCAGCGCACCGAGGAAGCTTGAAACATCGTTCAAAACCCAGAAATAGGTGCGGCTCCTGCCAGCACTGAGGAATGACAGGCCACCCTGGGATCTTGGCCTGAGATGCTGTGAGCTTCATGCAGGACTCCTGCTGGCCCTGAGGAACGTGTGCTGCTCTCGGATGTTGGCCCGCTTCCTATGCAACTCCAGTCAGCACTGAGGAACGCCACTGCTGCCCTGGGACCTTGACTGTGCCCAGTGGACGCCCACACCCAGGACATGGCCCCTCGGGGACACTCCCTACCTCCTGGACCTAATACTGCTGTTGACCTTCAGCTCCCACCCTTTTGCCCAGAACCTTGGACTACACCAGATTAACTGTGCTAGCTGGAAGGGAGATTCAGTAACTGCCTCACTCAAACAGAAGATCTCAGGAGGCTCCAGTCAGTGTGGTGAGTATGCCCCTAAAATAGAGGTGTACAGTGGGTAGATAGGGCCAGGAGTAAAGCTCCCTCCAACTAACTATGAGACCTTGGTGAGTCTGGCAAGAGTGTGGGTGACTCCTTCCTGCACACAGAAAACATCAGGCAGGGTGAGGAATGTGCTAATAAGGACTCCCCCAACTTGGAGAAAATCAAAGGGCTTGTGAGACACACAGGCACACAATAGGGGATACAGTAGGGCCTCAGCTGACACAAATACTATAGACAGGGAGATTTGGTGACCTGGAATAACCTGAAGATAAAGTAATAGCAGGACTAAAAGTTGACCTACATCATACTACTAGGCTTCTCAGCCAGGAAGAATATAGGACTCACCCAACAGCCTCTGCAGTGGGAAGGCAGGTAACTGGCCCATCTCTTCATCAAAAGACCCAGCAATTGGACAAGCATCAACCTTACATTAGGATCCCAAGATACACAATACCAACAGTTGACATTAGTGGGACTGAAGGACCAAATATTAACTCAAAAGACGAAAATGACAAAATGAAAAGCAAAATGCAATTTCAAACATCTAGTCCACCAGGAGCAAGTACAGGAGAATTGATGTAGAGGTCTTCAAAAGTAACACACGGGAAATCTCTGAAAAGATAGCAAGTGAAATAAAAAACAACTCCATGAAGTTATAGCGGAAATCAAGTTAGAAGTACTCTCCCATGTAAAGAAAGAAATAGCAAGCTTAGTAAAGGAGTTACTGAGCGCAGCTAAAAAAGAAATAGAGAAAAAAGTACATGGGAGCATGGGAAACTGACTGAAACCTTGAATTAACAATATAGAAAACAAGCAGAATTCATGAAACAAACTCAAACAGACATCCAAGAAACAAAAATTCTATTCAAAGCTGGCAAAACCATTTAAATGAAGCTGAGGATAGGATTTCAGACCTTGAGGACAAGATTCCAATTAGCGATCATGAAAGGATAGAACTTTTAAAAATAACAAAGCACCATGAAATGACAATCCAACAGCTACAAGATGATGCCAAAACCAACAACATAAGATTAATAGGCATCAGCGAAGATGCAGGAGTCGATGCAAATGACATAACTAAAATATTCACAGAATAGCAGAAAATTTCCCAAACATGGGGAAAAATTTTATATGCACATAAATGAGGCATATAGAATGCCAAACAGTCACAACCAACATATATCTGTATCCAGACATACAATAATTAAGGTCTCAGACATACATCATAAAAACAGAATGCTAAAAGCTGTTAGAGAAAAGACATAACTCACCTATCAAGGAAAACCCATTAGAATCACAGCAAACTTTTTAGCACAAACCCTCAAGTCAAAACAAGCTTGGACTGAGGTATTTAAAGCCCTTAAGAAAACAACTTTCAACCCAGACTGATGTACCCAGAAAACTTTCATTCAAATTTAATGGAGAAACAAGATACATGACAAAGAACAACTGAAGAAATTGACATCCACCAAACCAACCCTAGAAAAAGTGTTGAAAGACATACTAGATAGAGATAAAAATGACCACAATCCCCAGAACAACAACAGAAAGAAACCACCAGGTAGGACAAGGAATTAAACAAGGGGAAAAACAGAAAGCAAACAACTGGGACATAACATGGCAAAGTCGAGCCAGTTCATATCAGTGATATCCATAAATGTATATGGCATCAATTCACCTATCAAAAGAAATAGGTTGACAGAATGGATCAAGAAACATAATCCCTCAATATGCTGTACATAAGAAACACATCCAACCCAAAATGAAACTCATAGATTAAAAGTCAAAAGATGGAAAATAATATTCCATGCACAGGAACCCAGAAAAAAGCAAGGATAACTTCTATTTACAGACAATGTGACTATCAAACCTAAAGTGATTAAAAGGGATAAAGAAGGTCACTACATACTCATTAGTGGAAAAACTCAAGAGGAAGACCTAACAACTGTAAATACATATGTACCAAACACAGGAGCACCCAACTAGATACTAATGGACATGAAAAACCAAACACACAAGAACACAATTATAACAGGGACCTTAATACCCCATTGTCACAAAGAGATAGCTCAACGAGACAAAAAGTCAGCAAAGAAATAATAGAACTGAATCATACCTGTGAGCAATTGGACTTAGTAGTTGTTCTCCCATAAAACATTATCCCATAGAATATTCTTAAGTAAATGCAAAGGTATTGAAATTATTCCATGCATAATATCTGGCCATAGCACATTGAAATTGGAAATTAATGGCAAAAAATTGCAAAACCTGCATAGATATATGGAAATTAAATAACCTTTTGAACAACCAGTGGGCCTCAGATGAAATTAAAGAAGAAATAAAGCAATACCTACAATTCAATGAAAATGCAGAAACAACATACTGCAATCTGTGGGATGCAATGAAAGTGGTATTAATAGGGAAATATATAGCAATAAATTGTCATATCAAGAAAACATAATGAACACAAACAGCCTAATGTTTCATCTCAAACTTCTACAAAAAGAAGAGCAAGTTAAACTCAAAGCTCATAGAAGAGAGGAAATTGTAAAGATTAGGGCAGAAATCAATGCAATTAAAACTAAAAAAAAAAAGAGAAATTACTAAATCAAAAATCTGGCTTTTTGAGAGAATAAACAAAATTAACAAACCTCTATCTAACCTTATAAAGAAAAAGAAAGGAAAAACCCCAATCCATGCATCCATTCAGAGGACTGAAAAGGGGAAAATCACTACAGATCCCGTGGAAATTCAAAAGATCGTGAATATCTATTTTGAAAATCTCTACTCACATAGAGTGGAGAACCAGAGGAAATGGACAGATTTCTAGAAACATATGAACTACCAAAGTTCAACCAAGAAGATATAGCAATTTTGAATAACCCAATATCAGCTGTTGAAATTGAAAACATAATTAAAAACAGCAACAAGGAAAAGCCCAGGTCTTATGGTAACCATTGTTGATAACCTTGTACTCTGTTTTTACATCATGTGCTATGTCTATCCTTGGTTTTGACTGACAGCTTTGCTTTGCCATATTTGACTTCATTCTCTTCCAAAAAAAAAAAAATAATAAGAACTAAGGAGTAATAAAACCCAAAATGTATAAATTGTGTTGTAAAAAAGAGAGGGGAAAAAAGTGCTCTAAACGATACAACTGCAAGTGTGTTTAGGGGTGTTAAATAGCTGACCATATTAATGTTTTTGGTTGGATCATTGAACACAACTGTTTGCGGTCTTGCTGTTTTAATGTCCACTTTGTATGCTTTGATACTGTGACTTGAGCAACTATCTCTAAGATGATAATGCGTAATCTATTAACTGATGATTTCTTACTGCGTTTTTTTTTTTTTTTGTAGTTCTGTATTACTTGTACCCTTACACCGCTTTGTTTTGTTTTGTTTTTTCTCTTTTTCCTCTTAAATTTAAAAAAAAAAAGCCCAGGTCCTGATGGATTCAGAACTGAAATCTACAAGAAATTTAGAGAGGATATGATGCCAATACTCCTTAAACTCTTCAATGAAATTGAAAAGGAAGCAATCCACCTTAAATGAGTCTTGGAGGCAACTATTACTGTGATACCAAAACCAGAGAAAGACCCAACCAAAAAGGAGAACTACAAGCCAATCTCAGTAATGAACATTGATGCAAAGATTCTCAATTAAATACTGGCAAATAGAAGCAGCAAATCATCAAGAAGAGTATACATCATACCAAGTGGGATTCATCCCAGGAATGCAGGGATGGTTTAACATATGCAAATCAATAAATGTAATACACCATATGAACAGAGCAAAAAACAAAAACCACATGGTCATCTCAAAAGATGCAGAAAAAGCTTTCAATAAAGTCCAACACGTGTTCATGATACAAACCCTTCAGAAACTCAGAATACACAGTGTCTAACTCAATCATATATACGACATCTATGACTAACCAACAACCAACATTATGCTAAATGGATAAAAACTGAAAGCTTTCACTTTAGAATCAGGAACAAGACAAGGATGTCTAGTATCACCACTCCTATTCAAAATAGTTCTGGAAACACTAGCCAGGGCGATCACACAAGAGAGAGAAATAAAATGAATAAAGATTGGAAAGGAAGAAGTCAAATTCTCACTCTTTGCAGATGGCATGATACTTGATATAGGATATCCAAAAAAAAACTCCATTAAAAGCCTAGTAGAAGTAGCTAACAAATTCTGCAGCATAGCTGAACACAAAGCAATGCTCAAAGGTCAATAGCACTCCTGTACAGAAACAAAATCTCACCAAGAGAAAATTATGCAAATATCGCCCTCCACAATAGCATCTAAAAAAATGAAATACTTAGGAATCAACCTAACTAAGAATGTAAAAGACCTATATGCTGAAAATTATGGTATGCTAAAAAAGGAGATTGAAGAGGATATTAGAAAATGGAAGGATATTATTTGCTCTTGACTAGGAAGAACCAACACTGTGAAAATGGCTATGCTCCCAAAACTGTAATACATATTTAATGCAATTCCAATCAAAATACCATTAACATACCTCCCAGATCTAGAGAAAACACTCCTAAAATTCATTTGGAAATAGAAGAAACCTAGAATAGCAAAAGCAATTCTGGGCAACAAAGGCAAGGCAGGAGGCATCTCCATTCCTGACTTGAAACTATACTACAAAGCCATAGTGATAAAATCAGCATGGTACTGGTGAAGAAATAGACCTGAGGATCAATGGAACAGATTAAAAGATGCAACTGCAAAGACACAGCCACCTGGTACTTGACAAAGTTGTGAAACACGTTCACTGGAAGAAGGATAACCTCTTCAATACATGGTGTTGGAAAAATTGGCTCTCCACATGCCAGAGACTGAAACTAGATTCATGCCTGTCACCATGTACAAAACTAAAGTCTAAATGGATCAAAGTTCTAAATATTAAAACAGAATCACTAAATCTCCTGGATGACAAGGCAGGTAGAAGTCTTGGAGACACAGGACTAGGCAGAGAATTCATGAAAAGATGATCTTGAGGCCTTCAGAGGCAAATGGAGCCAACTTGAGGCTATCCTCATTAGTGCAATAAATAAGAATCATTTATAAAGATCACATTGTGTCTCTAGTGTAAAAAATAATAAGAAGTGTAGGAATAATAAAATCCAAAATGTGTAATTACTATTGTAAAATTTAGAGAGGAAAAGAAAGAGGTCTAAAGGATATAACTGCATGTATGTTTAAGTGTGTAGGAATGACAACCATATTACTAAGTTTTTGTTGGATAGTTGAACAGAACTGTTTGCAGTCTCGCTGTTTGTCCACTTTTATGCTTCACTTTTGTAACTTGAACAACTATTTGTAATAGCACAATATGTAATTACCAACTAGTGATTTCGTACTGTTTATTTTTTTGAAATTATGTATTATGTCTACGCTTTTTCTGGTTTTTTTTTTTTTTGGTTTTGTTTTCTTGGGAAGTAGATAAGTGGACAGAGACAATGTATACTTACACAATAAGGGATACTGGCCAGCAATAATCAAGGATACATTTGAATGATTTGTAGGAAAATGATTGCACCATAATGTTAAGTAAAATATGTCAGATGCAAGCATAAATATCATATGGTTCCTCGCATATGAGAAACTCAAAGTATAAGTAATAAGAACAAAATAAGATATATAATATGAAAGTGGGAGATAAATCCCTTCAAATGGGAAGGGGAATTAGAGATGGAGAGGCAAGGGAAAGGAGGGTGAGGGAATTTAAAAAATTAAGATATTATGTACCGGTACCAACTTGTACAAGTACCAACAAGTACAGCACACATGTATATGTCCTGAGGGTTAGCATGGAATCAGCACCAGGACTGCATAACTAGTTTATCAGGCCATTCCACCAGAGATCTCTGAAGAATGTGGTAGCTTCCTTTCATTTCTTCCCCGGTGCTGTAGCATGAACCTCCAGTTTGGAGCTGGACTGATCCTTGTAGCAAGATAAAATGGTAGCATGTGCTTTGGCTTCCTGAGAGGAACTGCCTTATTTACCTGACTGCCATATGCCAACTGGCTCAGTCTTTTTCTTGATAGAGTCCCTGCACATTGCCAACAAAGCTACTTTAACCATGTTTTCTTACTTTTTGAGGCAGAGATGTAAAATTGGAGTGGTGTCTGATGTATTAAAATATGTTAAGCATTAAGATATAATTTTGCAGTAACAGAGGACCCTTATTGTCGATCTGTTGCAAACCACTGACAGCCAAGGTCTTGCCTTGGTGACTATGAGTGATTTAATAGCACCTGTAAAATGTGGAACATAGAGCACTCTCAAGTGCATAAGGAAGCTGAGACAAATAAATGGTATATTGCATACAAAGTACAGAACTTAGCATATTACCAACACAAACTAAGCATAGATATTACTATTATAATTATTCCACTATTAATAGTACTGGCTTATCGGATATGTAGACCAAAGATCCTTACTTAGGTGACATGGTAGTTTTAAAGAAGAGAATGTGGGTTAGTTTTTGGAAACACAGAAGAGATTTTTAAAGGACTGAGAAATACTGTTATCAAGTGTAACTGAGTGCACACACTATTTGCTGCTTTTACGTTGCAGTGACTCAAGTTTTTTTTTTTTTTTTTTTTGTCTTTTTCGTTTTTATCGGTACCAGGGATCGAACTCATGACCGCCTGCTTGCAAGGCAGGTGCTTATGCCACTGAGCTAAATCCCCAGCCCCGTGACTCAAGTTTTGAAGAAATCCCACAGGACTTGCAGCCAGATATTTTGTACTAACATCTGTCTTTATTTTGGCTAGCAAAAGAAATTCAATCCTGACAATTAAAGTTTTGAGGTTTATACGTAACTTTCTTATTAATTGAGTTCTCCAACCTCACACCCCAGATCCAGGTCTGTATATAGCAATTCAAAGCTCTTTCTGTGGTTCTCACCTCCTCTCTGAGCTCATACTGATCAATGATGCTTTTCAGCTTTTCTGCGAGTTCTGTGTTCTCCTGACAGAGCTTCATGTTTCGCTCACTCTGCTGCTCTATCTGGGCCTGGATATCTGTCAGAGTCGTCTGGAAGTGACTTGTGATCTCCTTCCTTTTCTCTTCTTCCTCACGTGCCCGCTGCAGGGTTTCCTCCTGTGGATAAAAAGTGAAATATTTTGTTATCGTGGTTTAAAGGATCCCAAGGTTTGGACAACTCGGGATGAGGTCCGAAAGGAGGTTAGTGAGATTTTTTTTTTTCTCTCTCAGTTCATTAAGCAAAAGGTGCTCAGTCCCCAAATAAACGTGTTAGCCAAGGTTTCTGCTGTGAGTATATAGTCACTCCGAGAGGTGCTGTGAGCACCTTGAATTTGATCTTGATGATGAATAGGCTTGTTTTAAAGATAATAGGCCTCTTGCAGAGTGGATGAACTGCAGTGATTTCTGACAAATACGCAGTCACATGGTTTTGCTTTGTTGGCTGTGGCCTGAATAAAGGCCACTCAGCTTTACTGATTGATGGGACACATCATAGGTTTCTTTGATTTTTGTACTAGAGTAAGGCTGATAGATCTAATACCCCTTTTTAAAACTTATGACATATTAATCACATAATTGTGTTGGCCAAGTTTTGTAAATACAAGTGATCACAATATAACCTTTCTCTTAATAAGAAAAAAGTACTTTCATCAGAAAGTTTAATAAAGGAAACTAAGATAAGTATAAACCAATAAAAGCTATTCAAAAATATAAAAGGAAACCTTTTCAAATATACTGGATATTTTATTTCTGGAAGAATCATCATTCTATGTGTTACATAGGGCAGTTGAAATATTCAGTGTAAATTTTTGAATTTAAAAGTACTATTTAGTTTCAAATCTCTTTAATTCTAAAATGAAGCATCTGATTTTCCCTTGTTACTCTTTGTTAGCATTGAAGAATTGGAAATTAACTTTTATATTATTTCTGTTCTCTTTTCTCCTAACTCAAAACTGCATTCGTTACTAACCACTAACAGTGTGCTCAGAGTCCCTATCTGTATTGAAAATTGTTTGCCTTGTGACTTTTCTTCTCATCCTTTCAGCATAAAAGGATTTGATCTTGCTACATTCCACTAAAGACAGAGGCATGCTGCTGACAAATGATGCAGACGTTTTAACTCTCCTTTCAGTTCTGATTAATTGTTAATATGAACGCTTGCTTCATTATTGACAAGTAAAATTATACTGCATTTTGTGGCCTCCTAAGTCCAAATTATGTAACAGGAATGTTTAAAGAAATAATTACTGAAACAGAAATAATTGCACGAATATTATAATAGAATAATGTGGTCAAATAAAAATAATGCTGAAAATAATATGCTCTAAAAATAACACCGGGTTTCATCTTCCCTATACAATATTAATACATTTCCTAATTCTGAAGTGGCCATGAGAATCATAACTTATTCATTTGTAAACCTTTACTAGGCAACAACTTCTCAGGGATTTGTAGAAGATATCTACATTTCCAAACCTTAAGAAGTTAACTATTTAAGATATTATTTCCCTGAATTTTGAATACTAGTGCTTATGGTATATATTTTATTAAAATGATGACTGTCATTTAAGAGCAACTTAAATGTTATGTTATACACATATAACAGTCATTGTTACTTCACTTTTCCTGATATGTTTAGAAGTCAGCAAGGTGGGCTGGGGGTTTAGCTCAGTGGCATAAACGCCTGCCTGGCAAGCGCAAGGTTGTGAGTTCAATCCCCAGTACCAAAAAAAAAAAAAAAAAAAAGAAGTCAGCCAAGTCTGAATTATAGAATCACAGAACATGATCTAAATCCATTTACATTTATAAATATTCCATCCATGAATGAATGAGTAAAGATGAAAACCGTCATATACTACCCAGAAACTCTAAGCCTTTCACAAAAGCTGGGTACTGAAAGAGGGTCCATAGGCTTAATGGCATTAAACACATCAGACCATCGTAGCACCCAATTGTGGCCCACAAAAGGGCATCTTACATTTTGCATTGCATTGTTTTTCAATGAGATATAAATAAATCAGCAAATTTTAAAAAATTGAGTTCATTGATAAAGACTTTGCAATCATTTGGATAGAATCTGAGATAAAATTCAAAGTGAAAATTCATAATACAAATAAGATTGAGAAACAAAAAGCCTCAAAAAAACTTTGCAACTATCATTATGCATCTCAAAGCTGGTGCTGTGCCTGACACATAATCTACAGATACTTAGTAAATGTCTACTTAACAAATCAATAAATTATTATTATATGTACCAATATATGAGTAACTGGACTAGATAATTTCTATAGTCCTTTCCATGTTAAAATTTTGTGAAATGCTGATAACAAGTGCTACTGATTTCTTAACCAAAACCCTGTTCCCTGAGACATTTACCCATCTTTTCCTAGAAAGTATTTTTGTAATCCTTTTGAGGCTCAGATTTACTATTTCAAGTGTGAATAATGTTTTGTGGAAACAAGCGTGCCTCAGACCTTCATTGGTCTTTCTAAATTGTGTATATTTCTAAATTGTGTACAGGGTCTTGTATATTTAACTCACTGAAAAAGCAATTTTAATAAAGACTAAAGATAAGATACATGGTTGTAAAAAGACGTAGTTGTGCACTCTCTTTCTGCATTTTCCCTGGATCTTAGCACATGTGATTTTAGATTCAGGTATTGAGACTGTCTCACTAGTATGAACAAAGAAGCTCACATTAAATTGACTGTTTCACAGGTAATGCTGCAAAGTTTGGACAAAATGTTTAAAACAGCTCCTTAAATGTATTGGAGGGTAAACAAGATCAGTCAGATTCTAGAAGAAAGTTGAGACCTGTATAAAATGCCTGTTTCTCGATTTTTACCATGTTTAGCCTGAAGGAAGTCAGTAACTGGCGGAACGGGAAGGGTAAAACTCTCATAGACATCCTCCCAACCTATTGTAATTATGGTCTGAAGGAATAAGAATTCTGGGTCTATAGCCACCGAAAAGGGAAAGGGAGAGTCCGAGGAAATGAGCAGGGAAAACCCTGAATTCTGTGAAGAAACCCTACCCAAATCTCTTAACTGAACCCCACATGTCCAGGAGAGATTCAGAGCAGCCTACCTACAGAAAAAAAGAACTGAGGTGAGTTTTAGCAGCTGTCCAAGAAGCAAAGTTTGTAGTTTGAATCTCACCAAATTATAGTAAGTGGTTAAAACATTAATATTCTTCAGAGCTCTACCGTAGTATCCAGATTTTCCACAAACAGCAGTGACAATATCCAGGATACAACTGATGATGGCTACACATGAAACTAAGAAAAAGTGACCTATTTTCAAGAGACAATCAGAGGTGGCCTATTTTACAATGACCCTGATGTGGAGTAGCAGAAATTTAAGGCAGGTATTATAACTATGTGAATAATGGTCTATCTCAATGAGTAAAAAACTCCCAGAAAATATCAGGCAGGAAAAATAATATATTAAAAAGCCAGGTACAAATTCTAGAATTAAAAATTATGAAATTTGACATTAAAATTATCACTGCATGAATTCAGAGAATAATAGAAATGATAGGAAATAATCAGTGAATGTGAAGATAGACCAACACAAGATAGTTGTAATTCGAAGAGAAAAGAGAAAACAATGATGAAGAATCCAAAGACTTACAGACCTAGGGGAAAGGCTGCACTTTCAGGGTCATTTCTGTAGTATGTTAGAGACCTAACATAGGTCTCTAGGGGAAAGTACTAACAGGGTTAGCACATAAGGAATTAGAGTCTTAGAAGGGAGAGAGAGACATGGGGGTGGAGAGTGGAAGTAGGGGAGAGTAGAGAAACTCTGAAGAAATAGTGGCTGAAATCCCCCAAATCTGGTGGAAAACATACAGATACAAAAGCATCAACATGTACCAAGAATGTGAAGACAACTCCTGGACATAAAGCAGTTAAGATTCTGAAAACCAAGTATTAATAATGACTTGATAATAAGCACTAAAGGAAATTTTCAAGCTGAAGAGTATTGACATCTTACAGAAAGCTAAAAGTTTAAAATAAATAAAAGCACCAGGAATACTAAATATCTAGTAAAGAAAAAGACAGTTTTGCCCTTAAATTTTTTTTGTCTCTTTGAGACAGAATTTCACAGTGCAGTTCAGGCTGGCCTTGAAATCACTTTGTAGTCTAGCCTGGCCTTAAACTCACAGCAGTCCTCTTGCCTCAGCCTTCTGAGTACTGGAATTACAGGCGTGCACCACCACACTTGGCTGCCCTTTAATTTTTAAAGGAATACAGCATGGTCAGAATAGAAATTATAACATTGCCTCACTGGCTTTATACATGTTTGTACTTGTATACATAAACGATCATAGCTTAAATGTGGAGGAAGTAAATGAACCTGTTTAGTTGCATTACTTCTATGTATTATGTGATTCGATACAGTATTAACTGCAGGTAGACTTTGGAAAATTAAGAATATAGATTGTCATCACAGAGAAACTGCTAAAGATAATGCAAAGAGGTATAATTTAAAAATCAAAGAGATAAAATGTGACTTAAACAATTTTCATATCATCCAAGAGAAGGTAAGAAAAGAACAGGAACAGAAAAACAGAGGTGGCAAGTACTAAAAAAAGGTGCCATCTGCTCCAACTGCAGCGATGATTACATTGTATGTTAGTGGAATAACCCTCCAATTAAAGGCAGATATTGAAAAAATGAAAGAAACAAACTACAACTATGTACTACGTATGAAATATACCTTTTTTTTTTTTGAGACAAGGTCTTGTTATGTAGCTCAGGCTGGCCTTGAACTCACTTTGTAGCCCAGGCTGGCTTTGAACTAGAAGCAGTCCTCCTGCCTCCGCCTACCGAGTTGTAGATATGTGCTACCACACTGGCATAAAATAGTCTTTAAAAATTCAGGTTGAAAATAAATGGATGGAAAAAGATAGTTGGAAAACAATGAAAGAAAAATAGAGTGCTTTTATTGATGCCAGATAATATAAATATCAATATCCAGATTGCCAGTGGACATTTCATAGTGATCAGTGGACATTTCATAGTGATAAAGTGGTCAACTTATCAAGAAGACAAAACAATCATACATGTATACATAACCAGTATCAGTGTTTCAAAATACACGAAGTAGAACCTGATAGAATTATATGAAGTAGATAATTCCACAATTATACTAGGAAGTTTTAAACACTATCATTCAGTAATTAGACATAAATGACCTAAAGATAATTGTTACTTACGGAACACTGTACCAGCATTTGAGCTGTGTTCTAAGTATGCATATAAACTATGTGTGATAGGCTATAAAAATTAAACATTACTTCTCAATTATTTGTGGGTCAGAAAGGATTTAGAAAAATAGTTTGAATTTGAACCATGATTTTGAACTTAAAGTATACCTGGTCTGGGATAACTGTTCTAGATTTCTGAGTCCCAGTTTCATCAGGAAAGTGGAGATATTAGACTCTTAGCTTGTTTGTGAAGATTAAGTGAGGTGACGTATATAAGCACTTAGGACAATTCCTGGCATAGGGATGGTACATAATCCCACTGTCAGTGACGATGGGCCTTTCCAGGTATGTGTGAGTACAGCTGCTCAGCCTCTGACACTTCCATCATGCTGCCTACCCAAGGGTTCCAAGCCACATCTTTTGCACTTTCAACCTCTTTGCTGATGCATCTTCCCAGTCTATCTGATTGAAAGTCTCCTCACTATACTGCCGAAAGCCAGAAGACTTGCAGAAACAGAATACCATCACTGGAATACATACTTTAAGTTGAGAATTACGTTTGCATCTCCAGGCTCCCAGCTAGCCTGTGTTTCTTATGGTCCTTAGTGTGGAAATTGACGAGATACTGGAATCTCATGTCCTCAAACTTCAATATGAGAATCAGAGTTCATCACACGGGCCTCCCACTTCCAATATCCCTTCCTTCTATATTCCTGTATTTCTTCTAGCTTTTCTATCTAACTTTTTATAGAAAGTCAGCAATGATTTGAATGTCTCCATTTCTTAAAGTAACTCCTTTTGAACACTTCCAGGAGGGGCTGTCTCACAGGAATATTGGTATTTAATTAATTACTGTTTGTAAAAGCTTTGGGATCTCCTGTGGGAAAGGGTACCGTGGAGGTAGACAGCATTATCTTGGAGAGCCCTGCATCAAGCTTTATTGAATGGAGCAAGTGTCTGTGTGTAATCAAATTAATCACACTGTGAGGAGTTTACACTGAAATTAATGAAACCCATGCAGACTGAATGAAGTGATCAGTCTATTATTTTTAGATTGAATAATTAAGTCTGAAGAGCTGCAGTGTTTCTTCAAGTAGCTTCTGTTTTTCAGATGATGATTGACGTTTGATTCTCATTCTCACTTTTTTGTGTCAGTAAGCTTTGTGTGTATTTATCTCATGGCATGTAGGATTTGTTATAAGAATTGAGTCTTACAAAAACTTTAAAGAATAAACAGCAGGATACCTTAGAAACAAACTCAACCTAATGAAAAGATATTTTCAAGGGCTCATACAGCTTCCAGCACTGTGTGGATGCCTTATATAATTTCCTCCCATCCATACTAGTACACCTCAGCCACGTAGGCATTGATGGTACAATGTCCACTTTATGGAAGAAGAAACAAGCTCAGGTAGCTAAAATAACTTTGTGAAAGTCTAAAGGGAGCATGTGACAGATCCAATATTGAACTTCATGCTCTCTAAGACTCGTACTTTTTCCACAAGCAGCAGAGGCCAGAATCTATGCAGCCTGCAAGAAAGTCTGTCTTTCCAAACTGGATGCCACATACCTTCAGGGTCTTGTTGTGTCTCTGCAGCTCTCGGCACAGACTCTCCAGTTTGCTTCGAGCCAGGATAGCTCTGCTGTGTTCGCTTTGTAGCTGGTCCTTTTCTTTCTGGATTTGTACCTGTTTCTTTTGTAGGAGTTTTAACTTCTTTTGCTCAGTGCGATGTTCATCCAGCTAGACACAGGGTTGCACAGTGAAAGAAAATATAGGAGTCACTTTGGAGTTGATAGAAAAGAGGCAAAACTGATAGGTCACACTGGGTGTTTGGAGACACTTTTTGCTCATATCTGTCCTTGTGGAAGTATATGAACTTCATGAATGTCTCATTTGCATCACTTGTAGATACGATTTCATATCTTAGCACAATACTTATAGGTTTTATGTATTATTATTATTAATCATCTTTGATGGTTTTTGGTTGTCTAGAAATATTTTTTCCTGAATCAATCTAATGACACTAGCCAATATGGAAAGATGTGTCTCAGAATCTGGAAACTGCAGAGTTCATGACAATACCTTGCATTCTGGCAGTGGTCAATAGTTTGTGTTTTTGGATTACATTCTGTTCCCATAATTCTTACTCAAAATAAGCTTCTAGTGCTATTTTTTTTAAATAGGAAAGATAAAAAGCAGCACCCTGGTATACAGATAATTTTAGGCTTTGGGTATGGGAAAGGAGAAGAAGAGAAAGTATTTCTCAACCACATAAACTCTGACAAGTGGCTATCTGTAAAGTACCCTGCTCCCATGCACCACTGCCACCACACCTCTGACCAGCCAAACACATTGTGGTGCAGGTTTCTGGAAAGCCCAGATGAATTTTTTTCACCGCCCTCTCCAGTAGCCACAACTAAAGTACCGAGTTTGGCACATGAAATGAAACCAATTTACCCCTGTTCTTTTCATCCAAGAATGTTAATGTTCTAGGGTACAAATAGAATACAGGACACCCAGTTTAAATTTAAATTTCAGATAAATAAAGAATTATTTTTTAGTATAAGTACATCCCAAATATTGGATGGGCTATACGTATACCAAAAATTATTTATTATTTTACTGAGATATACATTTAATCATAAGTTTAAATGTGGTGTATTTTTAGTTGCTAAATCTAGTAACGTTCTTATAGAATCCTAGTCCTTGTGGACAGAGTGTGGGAATCAACCTCTAGATGCAGTAGCAGAAGATTAGCTGATTCTAGGGGTATCAGTCTAAGACTGACCATTAACGTGGGCACATTCAAGCGCTGTTTTCTCTGCTAGACTCCTTTCCTTTAGTGCCTAAATGATACTTAAGCCAGGAAAGTACGTTGCTAACAGTGATCTGTTGGCTGGGAGAGGCCCCGGGTGCTTCTAGACTTAGATTATTCCTGGTGCCTCACAAGCCTGATGCAAATGGACATTTGTGCTGCTTAAACCCTGACCTGTGTCTTATTTTCTCTGTTCCTGAGCTACATGAACAGGACTGCCACAACTTCTTCAGTTCCTCTTTTGTTTTATTTCTTTCCTCCCACCTTTCTGTCACATTGAAATAACCACTATAAGCCCTTATCACAGTAAGCCAAGAATATACATAATTGATATTCTATCCTCACATTTGTGCAGTTTCTTCTTATTAGTGGTAATTAGCATTAGGAAAAAAACCAAGAACCATGTTACTAAAAATATTGGTTGAAACTGATGTCCTTCTCGGAAAGTCAATGATCCTTCATTATATATTTTCTATGCTAAACTCTTTTCATAATGTAAGTGTAGTTTGTTCATTTTGCAGCATAGTTATGAGACAGGTGAAATTTTCCATGCTTATATTTAGATTTTTAAAGGATTATGTACTTTTTTGAAATGTATATATTGTTATTATGGTTATTCCTGTTATGGTTTTTACTTCACCATTTGAAGATTAAATCATATGTTTAGGCTTTTCAACTTCATTACTACTGACATATTTTTCGGCTATATAGTTTCTTACTGTGCTATATCCTGTACATTCTAGGTTGCTTAGGACCACCCTTTTCCCTTGTCCACCTTGTACCAGTAATATTCAGCTGTGATACCCAAAAGTGTCTCCAGATGCCTGTTGTCCCTGGGTGGGCTAAAGTGCATCCGTTTGAGGAACACTACCTAATGCACATTTTTCTGAGTATCAGAAGGAAGATATTCTCTGTGTATATTGTAAGTTGAAATAGAGATGATTTGTGCTTGCTCAGTATCTGTGTGTGTGATTTTATTCAAATAATTCAGACTTTTATGAATGCATGTGGTTTCTTCATGAATGAAGCCAGAATACTGCAACTGTATCAGCTTCAGCCAAATGCTGGCTATGATTTAAAAGTTCACTTAGGGATGGTTCTTTCTGTTCAACTGTAACTGCACGACAGGATTTTATCTACAATCTCTCTTGTACTTGCTATCTTTTCTAAATTAAATTGGTGCCAAATACTCAGAATTGTATTAGTGGTATTATTTTAACTGCATAACATTTGAAGAAAATATTTTTCTTATACTATTTCCTAATTTTGTCAAAAGATGTCCTTATTTATTAATGAACTTATCCTTATTATTAATGAGTACTAGGGCAGATAATATTATAAGATTCGTACATTGCAAGAATGAGTGAGCTAGAGTTGCAGTTTGATTCAACAGCTTTGAAGTTGATGATTTATTCTGTATTGGCAATTATATTTCAGACATTTTCTATATTAATATCCAAATCCGTGAGCAAGAAATAGGTTTTTTATCTCCAGGTAAAAACTGAAATTCCTCACAAGTTTTTTTTTCTTTTTCTTTTTTTTCCTGAAAAGGAAATGTAATGGATCTTCTGGATCAATTTTCTTCTAATCATTTTTTCTAAAATGATCTTTTGGATCTTAACATTTATTGTAAGCTATGAGATACATGCTAAAATGTAATTAGTAAGGTTTGAATTGAGTTTGGGTCTCTGTTAGGTACCCTTGGTTAAGAGGGTGAGTGGGCAGAGAGAGCTCCCTGAGACCAGCTTGAGCAACCCTGTTTCACAGAGAAGTGTTGGCCGAACGGAAGGTGCTGTGGAAGCTGGCACTGTGGATGGCGTCCTGTGCTGGTCTAGAGCACTGCTCAGTCCAGCCAACAATAGACCTGGTGCTGGAAAGTGTTTCGTTAGGTGTGAATGGGTAGAAACAAAGGGAAGGACAGACGACAGGAGAATCCTAAAAGGAGGCAGGATGGACAGGTGAGAAGAGCACGGGATAGGGGAAAGTGAGAAGATATTTTTGACACCCAGACTTATTTTATGGCATTTAAAATGTTAATCACCATTGCTAAAGAAATTGCAATAAAGTTGATATATTTGCTTTGTAGACTACTGCTGTTCTTTAGGCAAGCAATATAGACATGAAACTTAAAACTCAAAAAAGCACTCATCCTGTTTGATTTAATAATCCTGTTTCTAAACTTTTTCTTAAAATTACAATGAAGAAGGAGTAAATGTAATACATGATGACATTCACTGTGGCAGCTTTTAGTATAGCAGAAGAGTAGGAAAAATTGAAATAATTTGTCCCCAAATTAGTGGCTTAACTTATATAGCCACTTAATGTAACAGGACACACTATTTACAAAGCATCTTTATGAAGGCTATAAACTACTGGGAAAATGTCTATCCTATAAGCCAAGAAAACCAGATATTGACTCTGGTGAACCTTATAGCAGTAAATATATGTCAGCATGTATAGCAGAACTGGAAAGGAATGTTCATAAAACAATTTGTCTTTTAGATTATGGGGTTTGTGGGATTTTTGGTTTTGTTTTGTGCATTCAGTGTTTTCCTGTCACCATAGTGTGGTTTGTGTGATTGATTAAAATTAATGAAAATGTATTTTTGGCAGAATAAGCAGCCAGTCACTCAGGCCTGTGATCTACTGCATGAGAACGGTATAACACAGTGCGCCAGGGCAGAAGGCAGGAGAGCATAGTTAGGGACTGCAAGACTAAAGTCAGAGTGAGAAACAAGACAAGTTACCAGTAATTTCTATCTACTAGCTACGTATGGAACGTGTCTAGGCCTCACGCTTACGGTTTTGGAGATCCTCTTAAAAAAATTAAGATAATTATGTGAAGGGCCCCTGCAAATGAGAGACCCCAAATTAGAGCTTCTTTAGCTATAATATAAATTACCCACGTTAAGGGATACAACTCAGCCAACTGCCTGAAGGAAGCTTTTGTTCTGTCATTCTCTTGACAATACTTCTCTACAAGAAATAAATTAATTTTGTTAAAGAAAAGCAGAAATAAAAGAGAAGTACATTGTTTAGTTTTTCTAGAAGATGCCACATGCCAGTTGTGGGTACCATAATCTGTGGGCACAGTACAAATATCTCAGACACCGTCTCTTCATCTTGGCAGCAGATTGTGAGAGCTCACTGATACTAGACATGCTGTCCACACCGAGTCCTTCTGTGTCTCCAGCTGACCAATCCCAGAGCTGCCAGGAGCCAGTGCCTTGCAGGAGCTCTTGGGGGCTCAGAGTGGCTTCCTTTGCTGGGGTAGGGATAGCAGCGCTGGCTGCTGGGAGAGAGACTCCCTGCAGAGAGCACGTGGGACTAGATACAAAACAATCCACACGGATCACTTTGCTGTTACAGGGAACAGACCAGGCCGGGAAAAATCATGCCATGAACTGAGGCATGTACTCTGCCTTTCTCCCTTTTAACACTCTGGAAACCCTCAGTAAAGAATTGAATTAAAGTTTAAGATTTGTTTAACTTTATGTTGAGAATATTTCTGGTTTGTTGAAAAGAACTTGAAAATACCACAATTTTAAGTTACTTATACTTCTAGAAGTCTTTCATTTCCAAAATTATATACATAATTGAATATATACTCTAATTCTATTTCCTCTCTTTTTTCCTTCTTCCTGTCATCTTTCCTTCCTTTCTTCTTGCTGTTATTTGTCAGTTTTTCTTTTCTTTAAAAAATTCCCCTTTAACAAGCCAAACAGCTTTGGCTGGTTTGAAGTAAACAGGTATGTTCTACAATGACATATATGAACAAATGAGAGTGTCCTTTTTTTTAGCTCTAACTGCAACCTGAGTATGACAAAAAAAGTTAATCAAAGCTCTTACCAATTCAGCATACTTCTTGAATAAAAAGTCAAGCTTTTCTTCAGGTGTTTGCAGCTTGTTCAGATTTTGCATCAGTAGGTTGGCTTCTTTGCCTTAAAAAAAAGACATTAAAAAAGCATTAAATTTGTAGTCAGGTAATGTGGGCTGGTATCTCAAATCGATCACATGCAGGTTGAATACCAGTCTTGTCTCTGGCCTATCTGGGTGTCAGATAATCATTTTCTTTGCCTGTAGAAAATGATGATACCTACCCTGCAGAGGAAGTGAGGATTCATTCAGAAGTTTGTAAAAACGTATAGTACAAGATCAAGTTCATAACAGACTTTCAATAAATATCTGCTATAATGGTAGGCCCCAGATTTTTCAAGTATTAATAGTCAAAAGATATATTCTGCATCAAAGCACTGACTTTATGGAAGAATAAATCATTTATTTTATCATTTCAATTAATGACAAGAACAAAACCAGTCACCGTTCCTGACTGGCATAAAATAGCCAGTATCTATATATTGCGTTGCTAGAATGTATTGTGTTGCTAGAACTCCTGGCCAGAAGCATAGATACTTGACAGTGTAGTGTGCCTGCCTTTCCCCTGTAGTTCTTTTAATGTATCTTTCTTCTCTTAATTTGGAAAACAGATCTCTTCTTATAAAACATAAGCCTATTCCCTGTGGTTTGGGTGAAAATAATCCTGATTATACTTCTGAGCAGAAAATACTGTTCATATGGAAGATACCAGAGCCAAAGAGGCCTGTGTGTCTCCATGATTCGAAGCTCAGTCTTTGCAGGCTTTGCTGCCTCCCAGCTGGTCCTTAATGTCTGCTGGCCAGCTCATTTTCTGTTCCTAGGTGCACTTTATGCTGTATTTTAAAACTCATCTGTTTGTGATTATTTAGCAGGCAGCTTTAGAGTTTTCCTTTTCTTTACTCATTATTCTTCCTTTTGTCTTCAGCTTTGTCATTTTGTGGTGTCTAGAAATCTTGTCTTCAAGTAACCATTTGGGTGAGGGTTAGGAGGGAGAAGTCTGATGCTGTAGCCCATGCTTACCATTCACTGTTATATTTTTTCAAATAATCTGGTCAAGGTGGAGGATTTTTCCATCCTCACCTCTATGCCTAATCAGAGTAGGGAGATCAAGCCACCCAAGGGGGCCCATGTTTCATGATATAAATCTGCTGAAGAATTTTATTAACTTTGACAAACTTTCCCCCCAAGACCAGACATTTCCATCTGGCTAGAATATCTGCTTCTATTCTAGAGAGGTGGATAGATCATGGAATTTGGGTTGTCAGGTGAACAATAGAGCACAGGACACCCTTATACTAAAGAATAATTCATTGTTTAGCCAAAATTCAAATTTTACTTGACATTTCATATTTTTACTTACTAAATCTAGTAACTCTACATGAAATTAAGGAATTTGAGGTCTAGAAGAAACTTCAAACAACTGTTTTAATTTTGTAGAGAGAGTATGATAGGTCTAGGAAACACCAAAGTTACATAATTAGTGGTGACTTTGCCAAGGCTGCTCTTCCCGTCCTAAATCACTACACTCCCAGTGGAATCCGGATGCCAGGGAAACCTACAGAAAAGAAAGGAAACTTCTTTTGAAAACAGTGACCTCATTCCCTTCACTTAGTTTTGTCTGTCTTTGTTTAGTGAGTCAGTTCAGATTACAGACAAGGCCTAAGACACGGCAAAAGGTGGGTGTCTGGGGGCCCCCTCCCAGCTCGCCAATGGTGGCTTGTGGTATAAAGTGCCGCTTTCTGTAGCTTATGATCAATACTGCCCCACCCTGCTGGACACGTGCTTCCAATGACTCCTCTAGCAGCCTCCTCTGCATCGGTCATCTTTGGCTTCAGACTGGGGAAAGTGTCTACATGAAGGCTCCTGTCCTGAGTTAGAGGCACTTATTAAAGACAAGAGATGATACTGTTGATCACTTTTGGCCCAGGGCCTAGCATAGTGTTGAGTACATGGCAAGTGCTTTGCAAATACCAAAAATAATAGAATAAAACAAAACCAACTACCACAAACTTGAATTAGTACTAATCAAATGAATGCTGTCCTTCTTTGACTAGAGGAACGACAGGTCGTATTCTCACCTGTGACATTCAGTAAATGCTGGGACATCTCTTACTGTGAGTACTGACATGTAAAAGTACGTCTTGTTTAGGGGAGATAGAAACAATTGTGAGAGTACAATGGTTCTTTCTCCCCAAATTAAATATCTCTCTCATTAGGTTTTGTTTTAGTAGCTGCAAGGAGGTTTTTCTTGCTTGTTTTTAAATCTTCATGCTTACTGAGGTCTCTTTCAACTTAATCACCTGTTATTTTGTATAGAAAGTTTTCCCCCTTCGACAACAACAACAAAAATAAATCCAAGAAATTGGAGGCAAGCGTGTGCAGAATTTATAAGTTTGTGACATCAGAGACCTTAAATTTTAAATTTTTGTTGGTTTTGTTGGACTAGGCTGTTGTGTGGAATAATCGCGGATCAGAGGAGTAGACAGAAGCTTCCATATGTTCTAAGAAAAACTATAATTACATTCCCATGGAAACAGTGTCATTCGTTGACATTGTTAGACTCAAGAGGAAAGACTGACTTTACTCAGGGGTATCTTATCAGGAGGGACCACCTTCCTTTTTCCTCGTGTGTCATTCCAAAGCAAGCTTCATTTCTTCCCATTAAAGCTGGGGAAAGCATGTGGTGGGCATATGGGGGGCCATCACACTGCAGAATGCTCAGTTTGGTAGGAAGTGCACATGAAAACTGAGCCACCTGTGTAGCAAAGGCAGCGATGCCACATGTGGCGTGGTCCCTGGCACAACTGTACTGGAACACAAAGGAACTATCTGACATCAAAGAGACTATCTTAAATGAAGGCAACTGAACCAGCTGTAGAAATGAGAATAGGAATTTTCTTGGACTTTTAGCATGTTAAAGATAGTTTATACTAAATTTGGAGATCAGTTATGCAGATTGAATGTTTCAAAACTGACTTCTCTAAAATGAGTTTTTAAATCTTTGGGGCTAAAATTTGGGCTTAAATGCACATGTGTGTACCTCTCTATCCTCTTCGATGTGTTATGTTTCCATGTGTTATGGCCAAACCTAAAACAATATACTAATGATGTTGAGTGGGGTGGTATCGGTAGGTCATCAGCCCCGCTCCTGGTGATGGGAGTAGGCGGTGATTCAAAGACTCTAGTCAAACACATTTGGTTGAGCTTGCTAACTTGTAAGTGGTAGTATTAGAGAAATAGAGTTTTCCTTAACTCAAAAAAAAATTCTGATCATTTGTTAATCATAAGCTTAAGGAAGATTATAGAAGAGAAAATAGAAGCCAAAAATCAGTTATCTTTAATTTTATCTGTATTCATGTCTTTCACCTTAATACAACACACCCATACACGCGTGCGTGCACACACAGACGGGGGGAGAGGATTGATTCCAATATAAAAACTGTAGGCCAATAAAGCAAATGATTAGAAAGCATTATTAGAACTCTTGAAAAACCTCTGGAGTGAAATTTTTGCATACTGTGTTATGGAAACTTTAGCAACAGTTATTAGACAGGGAAAAATTTTCTTTCCAACTTTTTATGTTTTTAAAACCTTCCAGAATCATTAGACTGATTCCAGCCTTGTACTTTAGGAAATTTTAAAGGCATTAGCTGGGTTATTTTAATCTTTATGGTGGGTGGGTCCAAAAATGCTATTATAATGTGTCACTTAGCCTTTCTTGAAAGCATTGCGGCAATGAAGTTTAAATGTCACAGTGATCTCCTACTCCAGTGTAGACATACTTTTGGGTTTATAGAGAGTAATCTATTATTGGAGTTTGAATCCACTTCTGACTGTAGTTCCCATCTGTCACTATACCATGTTGTGTCCGCGAAATGGGTAAGATGACATCACGGCCCTTAGTAGCTTCTCTGTACAGCTTGGAAGGCAATTATATAAGCTAAGGATTGCTGTGGAAAATTTAAGAGAGAACTAAGGAAGGTTGATGCTAAGGCCATGTGGGCATGCCAAGAACAGTATATGAGAGAGAGTACTCGTCTGTGTGTTTCAGTGAGAGAAAACAGGTAGAACTTTCCCCTGTGTGGTAACATGTATTCAGCCATCCATAAAATTAGGGATAACATTAGATTTCTCACTTTTCGTGGCTGTTGTTGGTAATACCAATGCCCCATGCTCTTCAAAAGTTTTTCCTCCACTTGTTTTTGCACTTATCCTGTGTAACAATTAGTTTGGGTGCTTGCTCTTCATTCTATACCTAATCTTGCTTGACTAAAGGGCCATTACTTATTTATTTTTGTGTGCATAGCACAGTAACTCATAAACATAAGGCATTAACAAATATTCATTGAACCCATAAATTATTAAAATACAAGTGTATATTTTCTGCAAATATTGGTAGATATCACTTGATACATTTCTGATGCATTGTGTTTAATAAAAATATTTTATATGGTGGAATATATCAAGTGATCTAATTGATTATAACTTTATGCATAAACATTTACATTTTGCTGAAGTCTAAACTCCATTTGTTTCACTTTGAATAATGTTACTGTTCATTCATTCATTTATTGACTCTTTAAATATGTATGTCTTGAGTCTAAAATGTATCTTTTGCAATGGGCTCCAAAGACATGTAAATACTCTCTCTCACACACACACTTTAATCTTGGGATAAAAGATCTAGTAGGCAGGCCAGACATTAATCTCATAAAAAAGTATATAATTTCAAATGCTGATTAATGTTATATGGGGAAGTGGCATGGTACATAAAAATAAAAAACATTTAGGACTTTGTCTTCAATTTTGAGCAAAATGAGTAGGAATTAGTATTCAAAGTGCTGAACTTGGAAGGCAGTGGGAATTGGATAGAGATTTTTAGGTGCACAAAAATAGCATGTGCATAGGCCTTTGAGGGTGGGGGATAATATGTTTAAGGAACTGAAAGACAGGATCAGAATGGCTGCAGGGGTGTTGGTAATGGGCAGAGTGTTCACAAAGAGGGTACTGTGGGGCAGAATGAGGTGACAGGAAAAGGGACTTAGAAGGCTTTGATTATCAGATTCTTAGAAAATGTTATGAATTTCGGTCTTCTCTTAAAAGCATTGGGAAGCCATTGGGACAGAGAGCAAATGGGTAACATGCTAAAAGTTGGCAAGCTCTATTGAAGAGTCAAGGGTGGGAACAAAGATAGTAAGAGAAAGTTAAGGTAGACCCCAAAGGAATCTGCTATAATAATCTAAGTATGGCTTTATGTAAAGGTTGAAGAAGTATTCCTTTTTAGAAAGAATGAAAATTATGTATTAGAATATGACTACTTGCCTAATCCTTTCAGTATTTTCTTTTCCAATTTTTGCTCTTTATTGCTGACAGGCTCTTGGACTGTGGATGGCTCTCCAGAAGCAGTGGGTTCTCTTTCAGCCTCTTCAGGGACTTCTTCACAGTCTCTGTCCTCGTGGTCAGGTGCTTCCACACTTCCAGGCTGCTCCTTGGCCGTGGCTGGGCCCTCTTTCCCCGCAGTACTGGCAGCAGACCCATATGTGCTTATGATATCTTCCAGTTGCCGATTCAACTCTTCAGAGATATCATGGGCTCCCTTCTCAGGGTGGCCACTTGCCTCTCGCTCTGGTGTTTGGGGTGATGCTGAAGAATCCTGGCTGTCTTGCTTCCCCAGGTCATTTTGATTGGATGGTGATGAACTATTTCCTGAAGGTGGTGATTGTTCTGCTGGGAGCTGTTCAGGGTAATTAGTCTCCATCCTTGAGAGTGGTATCTAGTAGTAAGCAAAGTTAGGACTTTTTATAGTTAAGCCAGTAATATATTAATGGTGAGACTGTCTCCAAATAGGTGCCAGATAGTTAGGGCTTCTAACATGCAACAAATGTACTTTCACAAATCATTGATATTGTAATTAGTAAGGGAGGAACAGTGGGAAGTCATTTTTCAAATCAAGTCGTGTAATTAACATACTTTTGGTTTGATAACTCAGTTTTAGTAGTATCCTTTACAATTGACACTGAGTAATTTGTGCCATTGTTTTTTGTGATCATATGTATTTAACATAGAAATGCTGATTTATATTATGATACATTTTATATAATTCTGTATAGAGTCACAATCGTTAAATATATACATTTTCATTCAAAGTTAAAACACTTAATACAAGCTATTGTACATACTAAAATCATTCATATAATGTTCTTAAACTCTATTTTGACCCACAATGCAAGATTTGATTAGAGTATATTGATGTAAGTACTTTATTATGCTAATATTTGTTGCTTTCTAGTTTTTCTTTTTCTCAGATTTGCAACAACAAATATCAATGAGCAAAACATTTTTTCTGAGGTTTCACGTGGCATCAGTTTTGGAATAAGAGAAGAGTGAAGAAAGAATAAATAAACGAGAAACACAGTGATTCCTGTAGTATTAATTCCTTAAGTTTCCATAGTACCCTTTTGTTCCATTCTAAAAACTGACTTTATTTTAGAAGAAAATAGATGACAGCTTTTTCTTCTCAGTTGTGAAGTTCTAGGAAGATATAGTAATTTTTAAGAAGAGCAGTATAAACAGTGAGAAGATGAACTAGGGAACCAATTCAGATATAATATGGGCTCTTAGGAAAAAGGACCAGAGGACAAGTTGAGTCAAAGGTTTCTGGCTATTACCATTTCTAGGGTTGAGAGAGAGTTGGCTTAGGCCTTTAATTTGCAGTTTCTTTGACTTGTAAATAACTTTTAGTTGTGGTTTTGCTAATTAGAAACATGAAAATTGGCAAGATCATAATTTACAAGTTTTGCTGTTGTGTTGGCATAAACTGAAAACAGAAACCTACTCTTCTGCAAGCTGCACAGCTGCCTTTTCTCATTCTCATGGTGGCAGACGTCAAATATTTGGATGCCAACAAGAGCAGAAAATACAATACTCAGATATCATACCCAGATATAATACTCAGATCACCATCTCACATGACTCATCAAGAGCTCATTTACTTAAAAGGAAATAAGTTCACTGATTTTAATCCAGTAGTTTAATTATAGAATAATCCATTATGCGGCTTCATCACCTTCATCACCGTGGTCTCTTTTTCCTAACTTCTGCGTATTAGGCACTTGTCTATATATAACTTTAGCCTCCTTCAAAACTCAGAGAAAGACACACAGCATCTGCTGTCCAGCCCGAGGTTATTTTAAGCTCTTCTAAAATGAGTCATGGCATTTAGCACTTCATCCTTGAAAATCAAGAGAATAATTTTAAAATCTAATCGCAGCAGTAAACATTTACTGGTTTAAAGTATTGGGGTGATTATTTTAGGATGAAAAAAATCTAAGGAAACCAAACTTCAAAGCAATTAGTTTAAAATTTCCTGTCCATAGGAATTTAACTGTGGTTAGGCTACGTGCAAGTGTTTTATTTCTATTTGATTTATTCATTCATCATATGCGCAGTTGTTAATTCTTTTTATATTTTGTTCCATGGATATTCTTTAAACGCATGGCCCACATTTATTTAAAAACAGTGTAACTGAATGTAAGCCACAGAAAGGTCAATTCCTAAAAGAGGCCTGAAGACAAATTAACAAGAGTGAAAAAGGTCTAAAGAACTTTGTTACTTTTATGCTATCTATTTACAGTAATTTATATTATAGCAGAGAAATTATTTCTAAGTTTTCTTGCACATAAACTTTATGGGCCTTTCCCCTGTGCGCTGAGACCGAATTTTTCCACGCACTGGCAGTCCCAGCAGACAGTCAAACACAACAGCCCTCCCTGAGCAGCTCATTTTAATTATAAATACAACAATGGAAAGATTGTCGGCAGGTCACTGGCAATCTGAAAGCTGCAAGTTTTGAACACCGCAAACCTTGCCGTCCGCCTTCTCACAGGCCTCGGAGGAGAGTTTGCCATACTTACCAAAGACAAGGAGCTAAGGAGGAAGAGAAAGGAGAGGGAAGAGGCAGCAAAAAGCAAGTGAGAGCCGCAGCAACAGCAGGAGCAGGCAGGCGGGCTGAGTTCTTACAGAGGAGAGAGAAACCACACACACACACACACACACACACACACACACACACACACACAGCACAGGCTCCGCTGCAGGCGGCCGGGGGGGGGGGGGGCGGGGAAGGGAACATGCAGTGACACAGCAAGAAACAAATCCACTGAGCTTCAGAAGCTGTTGCCAGGAGAGAGCTCGGAAAATAGCAGCAGCTGGTATCAGACTCTCCGCATTGTATTCTTTGAAAAATTTAAACCCTGGGTAGGTACTCCGTGGTGAGTGCGGGTTTTTCTCCCACTGTTGTTGCTCCTTTAGACAGCAATCATTTTTCTTACTTCTTGGTTTATTTCCAGTGTGGCTTACGATTCATCTTCTTTTCCCTTTTTCTTGGGCTGATGTGAAAATTGATACGTATTTCTTATGCTTGTGATTATATAATATCTATTTTAAATACTTATTACTTTAAAGATCTATGAAGCCAATAAATACAGTGCAAATTGACAGTTCTATTTTTATATGACAATGTGTTATGTGACAAATTGCTATTTGCATGTAACATGAATGTGATGCTGACTACAGATCCTTTTGAGTTATGATGGTTAGCTGTTGAGTCAGCTTGAACGCATTTTCTGAAGACAGAGAAATCAGCCTGGATGTGAGTGGCACCAAGCAACAGGCTTGGTGAATGGCATAAATAGGGGAAAGGAAAAAGAAGTCTAGTTGCGATTTCTTTGGAGGAATCAGAGTCTTCGCTGTACCCTGGGACACCCATCTCCAGGCTTCCAGGACACACTCTTCAGCTCTGTAGGGCAGATCTTTCAGCTTTCAATGGGACTTTGCAGTGAACGCCAGGTCTTCCACCTCTGACTGAATCATTCAGCTCTCCAGTGCATGGACAGCCTTTTGTGTTCTTCACACCTTCTTCTGCAATTGACCGTTGTAAGCGTACCTTGTAAATCATGTACATCTCAATTTTTAGTTCATATTCTGTGCTTTCATTATTGAAATGTCACTTTTAAACCAGGTAGAATACTATGATTCCAATTCTGTTCTTGTGCAACTTTCTGTTTTTCCCAGGAGTTAATGATTGCATTTTCTTTTCACATGCTTAGCACTGAGAATATTTTGTCCTCCCAAACTTCACAGGAACCCTGTAAATTGTCTCTGTGTGTAATTTTTGCAAGGTCAAATCTGTTAGATAATTTATACATTGAAGCATTTCCCTGTTGGTTTTATCTCCACATACAAATAGTTTCAGAACCTTACCTCCTCCAGCCTGGGGTGGTAGCTTTCTAGGCCTGCCACACAGCTTCTGCTATTACCCTGGGAATTCCCTTTAACTGTCTCCTGTCTCTTGGTTCCCGTTTTTACTCTTTCTTGCTTCACTTCCACATTTGAGGGAACATATCCTCTAAGGGTTTCCTAAGAAATCATTTGTGGGAGACTGTGTGTGTGAAATGCCTTGTGGTATCCTTGTACTTGATTTGGTTAGATATAAATTTACAGGTTGAAAATATTTTGTATAAAATATTAAAGCATTTTTATGTCTTCATTTTTTTCTTTTAAAAGTACAAGATACGACTGAGGAGCACCTGCCTGGCAAGTGGAAGGGTGTGATTCAATCCCTGGTACAAAAAAAAAAAAAGGAAAGAAAAGAAAAGAAAGTAAAGCACAAGAAAACTGGGCCTGATGGTGCATGCCTGCAATTTCACACTCTAAGAGGCTGAGGTAGGAGAACCTCAAATTCCAGTCCAACCTAAATCAACCTAGAGCCCCAGTAACGCGCACACACACACACACACACACACACACACACACACACAGAGTTTAAAAAAGGTAAAGAAAAGGGAGCAAGCAAGGTCATTTGTTTTCTTGATCCTTTCATATTGTCTGTTTTTTCTCTCTGGAACCTTTTAGGATTTTTTTTATCTTGAATGTTCTGAAGTTTTAATTGTTTTTGTTTTTGTTTTTGTTTTATTTTTTGGTCTTTTAGAGACAGGTTCTTACTGTGCAGTTCAGAGTGGCCTTGAACTCACTTTGTAGCCCAGGCCGATCTCGAACTCACAACAGTCCTCCTGCCTCAGCCTCCCGAGTTCTGGGATTACAGATGTGAGCCACCACACCCAGTTATGGTGCTAAAACTTAATGAAAATCTTTTTTCCTTTATTATGTTGGACACCTAATGGGATTTTTAACCTACACGCTTGCCTCTTTAATCTTCTTTTGTTCCTTATGCTTGTCTTCCTCTGGACTTTATATCCCTCAGTCCAGAGCCTTTCTGGTTACATTTTTTCTGAGAATGATCTCCAGGTATACTAATGGGACTTGGTTTTGTGAAACAGTATTAGAGTTTCTTTATTCCTAACTCCTACTGTTTCTTCTCCTAATTAAAATGAGCAACAACGTAAGAACCACCAAACCACCTTCCTACATATGAGTCTTCTGCTTTACTATCACTTTTGATGGTATCTCCACTTGCTGAGTGTTAACCACAAATTCCTTCTTCTTAGTCCACAAGGCAAATTAGGTTGCCCTCACCAGAGGCTTTTCTCAACACCACCCAGTTCTATTTCTGTGAAATACAATTTTCTGTGTTGAATCATTTACACACACATATTTGTTTAATCCTTATTAATTTATTAATTGTGATTTGTGGATTCAGTTCTGTCTCATTAAAGTATTTTTTTTTCTGCTTTTTGTTGTTCTTTCTGTTTACAGGTGAACTTAAATGGAAAAGGGTATTGGAAACATCTTAACCCTGACATTTTAGGGTCAGAAAATCTGTTTAGCCATTGTAGAACTCCAGCAATGAAATGAAATTTCTTCTAAGAAGCTTCAACAGTAGAATTTTCCAATAGATCTTGCTTTATATTCATTTCAGGGACCCTAAAGGAGAAAAAAAATTTTTTTGGTCATTTTGAGACAGGGTCTCACTATGCAGTTCAGGCTGGCCTTGGGTTCACTTTGTAGCCCAGGCTGGTCTTGAACTTGCAAATGGTTCTCTTGCTTCAGCTTCCCAAGTGCTGGGATTACAGGAGTGTGCCACCATGCCCAGCAAGAAGAAATTTCTTCATGGAGCATGGAGGATGGATAGGGAATTAAGTGACTGATTTAAGATCTCTTTCAAATATGAGTTTATGGATGCTGGGAAGATGGCAATCAATAAGCAGCAAACTAAAGAGCCTCTCTGAGAGAAACAGCTCAAATGCTGGAATAAGACATTGTGGAGAAGACCAAACAGAAGGAAATGGATCCTCCTGACCCAGGAAGAAACTAAAGGGGAAAAAAGAAAAGAAAAATGTAGATGGAAGGCTGTATCCAGACATGTTCTCATCGGAGCCAGTCCCACTGTGTACAAAATGCCACTGAAATCCAAAGATGCATGGTTGCAGTAAAGTTGGTGGTTGGGGAGCCTGAGAGCCTCTGTTGGGACAATGTGGTCACAGAGGGGAGTGGCATAGTAGAGAACAGCACTGGTTCAGAGATCTACACTTGCTTTCAGTATGTGCAGGGAACTCAGTCTTCCTGTGGGAGAAGGCGATTGGCTGGGCAACATTTTGAAGTTGGGCAGGGTATTTCTGGAACCAGAACTGCAGCAGCTTTAGCCAGTCACTCCTAGCAGAGAGCAGATTGGTGAGAATTGCTTGGACTGAGTCCCACCCCTGTGTACAATTCAGTAGCCAAGGACAAGGTCACCCTGAAGCTATCCCTAACCAGTGCCATCCGTGCAGCACACACTAACGTAGTGAAGACTCCCAAGGGTTGACCAGCTCAGAAGGAAGGGGCCAGCCTGCCCTGCCCCTGCTTTTACTTCAGTGGTCACTAGCAGACTGGGGAGAACAGCAATCCGTAGCCAGCATGCTTCAGAGTAATCATAGCCAAAAACAGGAAGTGCTGGGGACCTCCACTATCCACTTATCTGGAAGAAACCAGAAACATGGCAAGAGGAAGAAACAAAAGGAAGTCTCTAGCCTCCAACCCAAACAGTACTGGCTGAGAGAGATAAATATAGAAGAGATTGTTCCAAAAAAGTAATAAGAACTGTGGGAGCAATGAAACCCAAAATGTGTAATAGTCGTGGTACAAAAGAGAGGAAAAGAAAGTGCTCTAAACTATATAACTGCATGTATATTTAAGTGTATAAGATAGAAAATGATAGCGCAGAGTTTTATTGGATCTTTGAACAGAACTGTTTGCAGTATCATTGATGGAATGTCCACTTTACAAGCTTTAATTTTGTGACTGGAACAATTATTTCTAAGATGACAATATGTAATCCATTAACTAGTGATTTCCTACTGTTCATTTTTTTTTTGTAAATCTGTATAACTTGTACCCTTTCTCTGTTTTTTTTTCTTTTCTCCTTAAATAAAATTAAAAAAAATATATAGAAGAGATTGGTGGTTGTACACCTGCAGTTTCTGCCATAAAGAAATATCTTCATGACATTATAAAAGAACTCAAAACAGAGTTACTAATACAAGTAAAGGAAGACATAAGAAAAATAATAAAAGACATGCTAAGTACCTCTCAAGAAGACACAGATGGAAGAATGGAGAAGCATAGAAAAGAGAGAAACCTTTGATGAAGAATATAAAAAGAAACAGTTTCAAAGAGATTATTTCAAAAATAATTAAAGAAAACTTCCCAAGCATAGAAAAAGGAAATGATATTCAGATATATAAGACATACAGAACTCAAGCCAGCTATTACTGAAATAGATGTATACCCAGACATATAATAATCAAGATCCCAGAAATTCAACACAAGAACAGAATATTAAAAACAGAATATTAAAATATTCAGAGAAAGTAACAGGTCACCTATAAAGGAAAACCCATCACAATCATGACAGACTTCTTGACACAAACTATCAAATCAAGAAAAACTTGGAATGAAGTATTCCAAGCCCTGAAAGAAAATAACCTCCAACCCAGATTGATGTACCCTGAAAAACTATCTCTCAAAATTAATGGAGAACCAAGATGCTTCCAGGACAAAAAGGAGCTGGGGAGTTCGTGACCACCAACCTGACCCTACAAAAAATATGAAGGACATTCTAGAGAGAGAGAGAGAAAAAACATGGCTTCAGGAACAGCAGCAGAGGGGGCTCACTGAACGGGGCAGATAGTGGAATGAATGGGAAAAGTAGACAACGAAGGGCAGAAAAATAACATGGCAGAGATGAGGAAGAGAAGGTTGGCCACAATTGCTAATAAGGATGGCCTCGATAATAAAAAGAAACTCAGGCAGAGTGAATCAGGAGATAGGGTCCATCAAGATGCTCTATATAAGAAATATAATTAACCCAAAAGAGGGTTTTTGTACTGAAAGTCAAAGATGAGAAAATAATGATGTATGTGACAGGAAACCAGAAAAAAGTGGGGGTACCTTGCCCATCAGCTGCAGATTGGTTGGAAAGATATAACATTTTATCCAATGGAGAACTACTCAGCTGTAAGGAAGGAAAACCTTGTGACTCCTGTAGGTAAGTAGATACAACTTGAGACCAAGTTCAGGGGTAAAAAGGTTCAGAACCACTTAGATGAATAGCAGGTTGCCTCCCTAATCTAAAAACTAAAGGAGTTAGTGGGATACAAATGTACAATGTACCCTGTGAAAGTGAAAGGGAAGGAATTATCTAAAACGAGAAAACAGAGGACATTGTTAATCTTATATCATGATTTGAACCCCATATTGTCTTCATTGCTCTGTTTAGTTTGGTTGTATTGTGTTCCAGTTTGTCTACTTGTACTAGAGAGGAGGGCATAGACAGCTATTTCAAAGATAGCAGGATATACTATGGTAACCATTTTTAATTTCCTATTAACTTAATCTGAAACCCTGTATTGCTTTCACTGTCTTGTCTTGACATTTTATTTTAATCTATTTTGTTTGACTGCAGTCTTGTCTTGACTGATTTTATTCAAATCTGTTATATTTGATAGTATTAAGTCTGAGAGTATAAGCAACTACTCTGAAGACAATAAGATTCACTATCATACCCATACTGGTTTGACTATTACCCTCTTTTGAAATTCTATAATGTCTCCAATGTTTTGTTTGTATTGATTTTGTTTTGTACTGCTATGTTCAATTTTATTGTACCTGATGATGTGGGCAACTCTATTGAAGATAACAAGAGACATCATGGTAACCATTGTAGAACACATTGTATTGTAGTTTTAAATCATGTACTATGTCCATCCTTTTGTTTTGAATGACTGCATTTTGGTTTTTTTTTTTTCTCATTTGGTTTTATTCTTTTCAAAATATAAATTAAAAAAAAATCCCAAATATGAGTTTATAAGTTCTGTACCATAGCCTGAAGAAAAGCAAAGATTATGTAGTAATTAGGATTGTGTTAAAGCAAAGTAACTTCCATGAAAATTTCAAATCTATCCTTTACTTGGTGTACTGTTTAGGGTTCCCTAGATAAACAGAATCAATGGAATATATATGTGATATGATAAAAAAAAAAAAAACTACAGCTAGACCTAGGCCCCTCCTGCAACTCCCACTGTCTCCACAGCTGACCTTGTGGGACCTGGGAACTCCAGCCAGCTGCATACATGGGACCAGGCTAGACCTGGGCTCCTCCGCTGTCTCTGCAGATGACCTCCCGGGACTCGGGAACTCCAGCCAATGGCACGCATGGGGCCGGGCTAGACCTGGGCCACTCCTGTGACTCCCACCTTCTCAGTAGATGACTTCATGGGATCTGGGAACTCCAGCCAGCAGTGTGCAAGGACCAGGCCAGAACCAGGCCCCTCCCATGTCCTGCAGTCCTGGCCACCCACCTCAGGACCTAGGAATCCAACCTGTGATGCGTGACCCCACAGTCCCACTACTGCCATTGTGGACCTCCTTACCTCCTGAACCTAGCATTGCTGCTGATCTTCGGCTCTACACCTCCCCCTAGAACCTTGGACTGCAGTGGTTTAACCATGCAATATCCAGGGGAGACTCAGTAAGAAGAACTAAGCAGGCTTACATGAGTGAGGTGAGTTTACCCCTAAAATAGGAATAGAGTGCCACCTTCAGTAGGAAAACAGGAGCAATGAAGAAGCCCCCTCCATAAGTAGGCCATAGATGAGCTTGGCAAGTGGGTGGGTGAGCCTTCATCCACACAGAGAATATCAGGTAGGTTTAGCAGGGTGCCAACAAGGCCTCCCCCAACCTGGAGAAAATTAAGGGGGCATGTGGGACACCCAGAAACATAGTAAGGTCCCAGTCGAGATAAACACTATAAACAGGAGATGTGGTGACTCTGAACAATCTGAAGATACAATAACAGCAGGAGCTAGGGATTGATTTCCATCAGTACTCTTAGGCTTGTCAGCCTAGGAAGAATATAGGACTCACCCAACAGGCCCTGCAGGGAGAATTTGGGTAACTGGCCTACCTCTTCATTGTGGAACCCAGCAATTGGACAAATATTAACCTTATACAGTAGGACCCCAAGATATACACTACAGTTGACACTAGTGGGATTGAAGAACCAAATATTAACTTGAAAGGGGAAAATGGCAAAATGAAAAAGCAAAATGGAATTTCAAACATCCAGTGCACCAGGAGCAAGTACAGGAAACATTGAGATGGAGGACTTCAAAAGAAACACACCAGAAATCTCTGAAAAGATAGCAAATGAAATAAAACAACAACTCCAAGAGGTTGTAGAGGAAATCAAGTTAGAAGTAATTGCTCATGTAAAAATAGAAATAACCTTCGTAAAGGAATTGCTCAGTGCAACAAGAGAAGAAATAGATAAAAAAAAAATACCTTGAATGAACAATATAGAAAACAAGCAGAATTCATGAAACAAAGAGACATCCAAGAAACAAAAAATTCTATTGAAATCTGGAAAAACCATTTAAATGAAGCAGAGAATAAAATTTCGGACCTTGAAGACAGGATCCAATTAGCGATCATGAAAGGATAGAACTTTTAAAAATAACAAGGCACCATGCAATGACAATCCAGCAACTTCAAGATGATCACAAGAGAAGCAATATAACACTAATATGAAGAGATACAGGAGTCAATGAAAATGACATAACTAAAATATTCACAGAAGCAATAGCAGAAAATTTCTCAAATATAGGGGAAAAATCTGATATATAGATAAGTGAGGCATTAGAACACCAAACAATCACAAGCAACATAAATCTACACCTAGACATATAATAATTAAGATCCCAGACATGAAACATAAAAACAATACTAAAAGCTGTTAGAGAAAAGACACAGCTCACCTATCAAGGAAAGCTCATTAGAATCATGGCAGACTTTTCAGCACAAACCCTCAAGTCAAGACGATCTTGGAGTGAGGTATATCAAGTCCTAAAAGAAAACAACTTTCAACCCAGACTGATGTATCTAGCAAAACTTTCATTCAAACTTAATGGAGAAACAAGATACGTCCATGACAGAAGAACTGAAAAAATTCAAGTCCACCAAATCTACCCTAGAAAGAGTGTGGAAAGACATACTAGATAGAGATAAAAATGACCACAATCCCCAGAACAATAGAAAGAAACCACCAGGTAACACAAGCAATTAAATAGAGGGGAAAAGCAGAAAGCAAACAACTGGAACATAACATGGCAAAGTTGAACCAGTACATATCAGTTTTATCCATGAATATAAAAGCCCTAATTTACCTATCAAAAGAAATAGGTTGACAGAATGGATCAAGAAATAAGATCCCACAATATGCTGTATACAAGAAACATGTCCAACCCAAAATGAAACTCATAGATTAAAAGTCAAAGGATGGAAAACAATATTCCATGCAACAGGAATCCAGAAAAAAGCAGGGGTAACTATTCTATTTGCAGACAATGTGAACTTCACACCTAAACTGATTAAAAGAGATAAAGAACATCACTACATACTTGTTAGTGGAAAAATTCAAGAGGAAAAACTAACAGTTATAAATATTTATGCACCAAATACAGGAGCACCCAACTATATTAGACAGATACTAATGGACATGCAAAACCAAATACACAAGAACACAATTATAACAGGGACCTTAATACCCCATTGTCACAAAGAGATAGATCAACTAGACAAAAAGTCAGCAAAGAAATAATAGAACTGAATCATACCTGTGAGCAATAAGACTTAGTAAATGTTTGCAGAGTGTTCCACCCAACCATATCAGAATATACATTCTTCTCAGCTGTGCATGGGACATTCTCAAAATAGACCATATATTATCCCACGAAACATTCTTAAGTAAATACAAAGGTATTGAAACTGTCCCACGTATAATATCTGACCATAGCACACTGAAATTGGAAATTAATGGCAAAAGAAATCGAAAAAACCTGCAAAAAACCCTGGAAATTAAAAAACAACCTTCTGAACAAGCAGTGGGCTACAGAT